AGGGCCTGGAGAACAGGTAACAGGTGCCTCTCCTCGTTCCCTTAGTATCCGTCATCTGGGTGAATTACCGGAACATGGCGGTTCCTGCCACAGGGGTCTGATCTCCGATTAGAAGGACACCATACGTACTGGATCAGGTCCCACCTCGGTGACTTCGTTGTGTCTTAATTACCCCCTCTAAAGGCCCTCTGTCCAAATACAGTCACACCCTGAGGACGAGGGTTAAAGCTTCCACGCAGATTATAGAGAGAGCGTAACTGAACGGTAAGGCTTCTGCTGGCATCCACTACGCCTTCCAAACAAACTGCTTGCCCCCAAACTCTTATTTCTGGGAGAAAGCAAATATAGGAAGTCTCCAGGGGTGGGGTGAGAGTTCTTTCAAAAAAAAAAAATGACCCCTAAGATCATCTTCATACCCACACTTCAGTGCCGTAGCTATTCTGCCCCACGTTCTTCATCTTGCTCAGGGCTCCATCCCGCGCAGCCCTCCCAGGAATGGCAGGAAGGTGAGCATCCATGCCCCTCCTCACCCAGGGACTGGGGGGATGTGGGAGACCCAAATGCTGCTTGGTGTGCTGAGGAAATTGACAGTGTTCTTGTTTCTTGGAAACATGGTTATACTTCAAGAAAACGTAAGTAACAAAAGTAATTGTCCTAATGATACAAGAGCTGTGGCAAGCTTACTGCCAGTGCTGCGCCATTGTGTAACACCCAGCACTCAGCATGCACGAAGACTTCGCACATGAACTTGTGTCGGACAGCTGCAATTCGAGGCGCTGATGTGGACTGCTGGCATGGGCAGTGTATTGCTCGGAGGGAGGGATAGGAAGTCAACCAGGCTTTGTTGTCAACCTGAAACTGCTTGAAAACCAAAGTTTATTCATTCAAATTTTCACTGATTTAATTATTTAAAAGGCAGAAAAATGCAAACACACACACACAGAAATGAAGAAACAGTCAGGATTGATCAAACAGACAAGAAGATGCTTAATGGAGAAATGATTGGATTACACTACACTGCGGCCACCGTCCATACGCAGGGAAGGAGCTGCCCTGTGCTGCCTTACTCCCCGAATGTCCGCCACATCCAGGTTCAGGCAGAGGCCGGAGCCAGCAGCCTTGCCCTCGGGCCAGGGCTCCCCTCCTTGGGCGGTGGGAGCCCAGTAACTCGAGCCATCACTACTGCCTTCCAGGACCTGCCCTGGTTGAAGTCGGGAGCTGGAACTGGAATCAAACCTAGGTATTCTGGAGCTGGAATCACGGCTCACAAGGCTCATCTTCCACCCTGTGGTGCCAGCATCCCAAATGGGTGCCAGTTCTTGCTACTCCACTTCCCATCCAACTCTCTCTGGCCATGGAAGGCAGCAGAGGACGCCCCAGGGACCTAGGACCCTGACACTCACATGGGAGACCTGGAAGAAGCTTCTGGCTCCTAGCTTCAGGTCAGCTCAGCTACAGCCATTGCACCACTTGGGGAGTGAATCAGAAGATGAAAAAAAATCTCTCTTTATCTTTCCTTCTATCTATGAAACTGCCTTTCCAATAATTAAAATAATAATAATAAATCTTAAACAAAAAACCTAGGTATTCCATGTGGCAGGTAGGTATCTCAATCGATGTCTTAATTGCTAGGTTAAAGGTCCACCTGGTTTCGTTCATTCAAAACTAAATAAATATATGAGATATATAAAACGTCACCAACTGAAATGAGAAGCTGAAAAGCAGATTTGAAAGGATCTTAAGGAAAGAAGGGTTGTAGGAATTATTGTCAGTCTTCTAGCGACACCTACCGGTGGAAAGTGGCTATTGTTCTCAAAACAATGTGGCGGTTCTATATTGTTCTGTAGGAAACTTCAGTAAACAATAAAAAAAGTTATAAAAACAGAAAAAGTATTTCTATGATGTATAATTACAGCTGCATGTGAATAAGAAATATCAGAAACACAACCTTATATAAACATACTCCTAAGACAACCCCAAATCAGAACATACTGACTGAGGGGAAAGGTAAGAAAGGTGATTTGTGCGATGACTCTTCAAAATGTCTCACATGTGGGGCTGATACTGCGGCACACGGGGCTAAGCCACCACCCACAACATCAGCACCACATATCCCACCAACGACCTGGGACCCGGCTGTTCCACTGCTCATCCAGCTCCCTGCTGAAGCACCTGAAACACGGGAGACTTGAGGGAGGAAGGCAGGTGTTAACAGGATGCGGGCACCACCCCCCCCACAGTGCCGGCCCCACCCTCTGCATCTTTGACCGTATTATTTTCACTTGCTGTTCTGTACCTTCTAGTCTTTATTGTTGAACTATGAGTATTTTTGTATTCCTTCCTGAATTCTATCATATTGCCGCCGCCAAGTTTTTTAAGTTTATGTGACTCAGTCAAGCCTCCTGTAATTGTCTGAATTTCTTGGCAATCATTTGGAAATGTCAGGCTGCAGTATCAAGCCTTTGTGTGGGCAGTCTTTGTAGCACGTTTTCATTCCTTGAGGGTCTAGATGCTGTTCCACGCTGTCTTTTCTCTCTCAGTAACTGCATGTGTGACCGCTTCTCTGTTTACCTTACTTGAAACCTGCTATCCTAAATTTTATTAAATATTCAGTGGGGGGTCCAGAGAGGTAGCCTAGCAGCTCAAGTCCTCACCTTGGATGCACCAGGATCCCATATGGGTGTCAGTTCTAATCCCAGCAGCTCCACTTCCCATCCAGCTCCCTGCCTGTGGCCTGTGAAAGCAGTCGAGGATGGCCCAAAGTCTTGGGACCCTGCACCTGTGTGGGAGACCCAGAAGAGGCTCCTGGCTTCAGGTTAGCACAGCTCCAGCTGTTGTGGCCACTTGGGGAATGAATCAACAGATGGAAGATCTTCTTCTCTGTCTCTCCTCCTCTGTGTATATCTGACTTTCCAGTTAAAATAAATCTTTAAAAAAATATTCAGTGGAATACATATCCTAGCTCAGCCCCCCAAAACATCATTTTTATGAAATGCTTGAGGTAGACGGTCTCGAGCTTGCTTGGCTCTCTTGCTTTTCACCGTGCTCACTTGGACTCGTCTCCTATTTTGTGACACTGTGGAATCTGAAGTTTGCTCCCAAAAGTTTTTCTTCACCAGGAGACTTTGATTTGGATGGCAGCTTCCTCCCACTTGTTGCACTGAAGGACTTATGAGGCCTGGACTTCTCCAGGACTGCTGCTTTCTCTTCTCTTCTCTTCTCTTCTCTTCTCTTCTCTTCTCTTCTCTTCTCTTCTCTTCTCTTCTCTTCTCTTCTCTTCTCTTCTCTTCTCTTCTCTCTTCTCTTCTTTCTCTCTCTGTCTCTCTCTCTCTTACCCTGGGCTGGCGCAAGAACCTGGGGGTCCGGGATTCTCCTGTGCGCAGCTCCACATGCTAACCCACTGCTTCCTGTGCTCCGTCCTTTCCAGGTGAGGCACCCACTCGTGTGATTATCACTGGCCTGGCCATCGGGTTTTGATTATGCCATCCTAGTGCATGGCTCTGGGCAAATCAAGCACGTTAAAAACTGCAGTCTCTACTGCTACATTTCCAGAATGATAACAAAATATTTTTGCAAAACTCCCCATGGAGTATCACACAACCAGGGTTACGATCCATTGGTCTAATGCTTCCAATTATTCCTTCCCTGGACTCATCTTTTCCCTCTTGGAATTCAGCTTCTGTCTTCCCACTGTATGGATTACATTCCCCAGTAGCCGCAAGAGCCAGGCCTGGACAGGCCGAAGCCGGGAGCTTCTTCCAGGTCTCCTGTGTGGGTGCAGGGCCCAAGCCCTGGCACCATCTGCTGCTGCTTTCTCAGACACATTAGCAGGGAGCTGGATGGGAAGTCGTGCAGCCTGGGCACACAGATGCACGCCCCATCCGACGTCAACAGTGCAAGTAGAGGCTCTGTCCACTACGCCATGGTGCTGGCCCGCTCTTCCCAGGTTAGGAGTGCCTGCCTGCTCTGCCGTTCACTGCTAGCTAGAACACCTTCAAGCCCACCTCTCACACCCACTGTTAACCTACCCTCAACTCCTGCACAAGCCTTAAACACTGTCTCTCATTTTGTGTTTCTTATCTTCTAGATCTCTGGTGGATGTTTCTGTGATGCCATGACACAGGCATTCCCATCAGATCCTTTCTGCCTGCTGGGAGTGGCACAGACGGACCTACACAGCAGATCTGCAATAGTTACTGGAAAATTACTAAGGGACCAGAAAGACAGCCAGGGCTTCTTGACTATAAATCTCCAATGACAATATGAATCAATGATAGATATTAATCCAAGATTCACTCTCCCACCGGACATCTGAGAACAAACGAGCTGCTGCTCTGACACTAAGACGCGTACCCAGCGTTCACAGTCCCAGGATGCCAGGCAACAAACCAGGCAACTTTTCAGTTGTTAAAATCACTATTGCATGGAAGAAGCCGCGACCTCAAGGCACATTCTGTGCATTTTCCTTCCACTGAAACCATAACTTTGTTTGTGCAAAGCACAGGAAGTCGGCGCAGGGTCAAGTGCAGAGGATGCAAGAAACCGAGATTCCTGCAAGGGAAGCTTTATCCCGCACACCACCTCACGCAGAGCCCTGACAGCCCCACTCTCCCAAGACGCGTGCTGACTCCACCCCCTCTTCAAGCCACGCCCACCGTCGGGCCCGTCCCAGTCCAGGCAACGCCCATCCGCAACAGACGCGCAGCGCCACGCCACACCAAGGCCCCGCCCCGCCAAAAACCACGCCCGCCCACCCAGGCCCCGCCTCCTCGCCAAGCCTCTGCCCCAAGCCACGCCCCCAACCACGCCCAGCCTCGCCCCACCCGCTGCCACGTCCCTCGCCCCGCCCAAGCCCCGCCTCCACACCGCCCGCCACGCCCTGGCCCCGCCTCCTAACGCCCTCCGTTCTGTCTGCCTACGCCGCAGCCCCGCCTCTTCACCCCAGACCCTTCTTCCTGCCGGGGGCGGGGCTGGGCGCCAGGTGCGGCTTCCGCGTCAAGATGGCGGCCTCCTGTCGCGGGGCCGCTCGGCACCTTCCCGGCCGCCCGGTCCTGCCCGCCGGGGCCCGGGTGCTGCGCGTCGCCCTCGGGCTGCTGTGCTGGGCCCCGGCGGCTGTGGGCGCCGTGCCCGAGCTCGGGCTCTGGACAGAGACGGTCACCGAAGTAAGTGTGGTCGTGCGGGGCCCCGGCGCTCGCGGCGGCGCACTGCTTGAGCCTCTCCGGGGGTGCGCAGTGGGTTGCCCAGCTTCGGGAGGAGCGGCCGGGGTGGGCGTGCAGGGCTGCCCTCGACCTCCTCAGCTCCTGCTGGCGCAGTCCTGGCCGCCCGCGACCTCCTGGAGCCCACCCCGGCGCACCTGGCGGCCTCTCGGGTTTGACCCTTCCGCGCTGCGGCCACGGCTGGACCCTACACGCGTGACCTCCTGTGCAGCTTCCGCGTGCTTTGCACTAATTATCTGCTTTCCTCTTTCCGCCTCTGGACACCTGCGTTTCTCTCTAGCTCCCGTGCCAGGTCTGGGAGGGAGAGAGAGGAGAGAGGACAGTGTGTGTGTGTGTCTCCCAGTCTGCAGGCACGAGTGGGTGGAAACTCTTGCAGTAGAGAACTGCCCACATGCAGCAGTTAGAGGGCTGGATGTAGGCAGAATGCAATAGGATTATGGAAAGTCTTGTGAAAGAGACAGAAGTCGGGAAGAGGCATTATCTTAACCCTGCTTCTCTAGGGTCCGTTGATTGACTCATTCAGTGCTGAACATTTTCCATATGTAGTGAAAGGCTATCCGAAGGCTTACATGTGACATTTATATTTTAAATTCCTCAACCGGAAAAAAAAGGGGGGAGGGGGAGGAGGGCTCGGTAGTACCAGAGATCACGGATGCTTCTGACTCCCCCAAGGCTGCACAGAGGAACAAGAGCAGGGAGCTGCCTGCCACCTCTTCCAGGGCTCTGCGGGTTGGGGTACTGCTTTGTGCTGTAGCCTGCACCTCTGAGCCACTCTTAGGGTTTCCTGCTGCCTGAGCAGTCAAGGGACCGTATTGTAAATGGAGACGGAGATACTGGGAGTAAGTGAGTCATATGCAGACTGTTAATCAGCTTGAGTGAGCTATAAAGTTCTTGGACACATAGTCTTCACATGGTGTGAATCCAAAGGCCACAGAAGGGAAGAATGATTTTGCTTCCTGGTTGAGAAAGAGCAATGTGTTCCTTGAGGGCCCTAGAATCTTTTGTCTTTGTTCCAATGTGACTTAGGCTAGTGGTATGAGGGTCTTCTTTGCAGAAAGTAAACTGAATTCTCCACCCTCCTCCATATGTTATCAGAGCCTTGTCCTGCGGGCCATGAAGGTAGAGTGGGCCTTCCTCTAATTTGTGCTGTAGATCTAGCAAGAACTGGTTCTTTGCGTGGTCAAGTTCAGCCAGCAGTTGGAGCGCCTGCTGTGGGCTGTCTGTGCGGTGAACTAGACCAGTTGCTGCTGTGACAGAGTTGAGTTCTAGACACAGCTGTTTCTCCCAGCAGGCTCACATGATGGTGGGGACAGTGGACACATGAGCGGGACATTGCGGCCTGCTATGCTGGAGGAGAACCCTGGCTGGAGGTTCCCTTTGGTGAAGCAGCCGCCACATGGGCGAGCCTGTGTGTTTCCGCTGAGTGCAGTTCTTGTAGGGATGCTGGAGGGCACTCAGCCCCACCAGAACCCTTCCACCCTTGCACTTGGCTGTGAGCCTGAGGCTCTGGATCTCCTGCAGGGAGTGGAGGATACCAGCTTTCAGCCTCTGGGGAATGGGAGGAAGCGGGGGAGGGGGGAAAGAAAGTGGGAAGGTGGTGGGCTGCTAGGTGCTTGTCTGGTTGGCTCCAGTCAGATACTCCCTGGCTGCGCAGGTGCAGAGTACGGGTCAGTTGCCTCCGTGACTGTGGTGCCTGGTGTGAATCCTGCCTGTTCCGTTTCCTGTCCCCGTTTAGCCAACGTGTATCGTGAGAGACAGCAGCGGGTGATGTGGCTGGTGTTTGGTTCTCTTCTCCACTAGCAGACCCAGATGGAATTCTCTGCTCTCGGCATCAGTCTTGGCTCAGGCAAAGCAAGTGACAGTGGGTGGAAGATGTCTGTCCCTTTGTGCTTTCAAATTAAAAAAAAATAATAATACATTCATGTTGATGTAAGAAGTAACGTGCATTTGTGTCATCTCTGAACCTCAGTGGAGATTGTTCCTGTCAGGGGCACGCCTGGGAGGAGACACACAGGAGGGATTGAGGCAAGTGAGTGATCGGACCAGATTTACATGTTTTGAAAGTATTCCAATCAGGAAGAAGTGCAAAGGTTGGAGCTCTGTTTTGAAATGATACAGGAAACATTTCTTAACGAGTTCTATTTTTGCTTTTCATTTTAGAAATCAGGACCTTTGATATTTAAGAAAACTATGTTTAACTCCACTGAGATCAAGTTTTCTGGTGAGTATAATCAATACTAGTATCAATAGCGTGCTATGTGAGTGACGTCATGAGCGTCAGCCTACTGTGTAATACTTAACGGACTGAATAAGTGTGTTCTGATACTTCTGTTTCACTCAAGACTTGGTTATTTTCAAGAGGGGATTTATGTGATCCTGTTGCAGAAAATGTAATATGAATCATGCCTTAAAAGTCATAAAGTAGGCTTATACCAGAAAGGGTTTGGTTTCTGTGGGATTTGAGTTGGTGTCCTAGATTTTAAAAACTAAATTTCTTTTATGAGTATGTGAAACATGGCGATTGTGATAAACCCATCATACCCCTTAAAAATGGTACATTTAATGTGCATGATAACATGCTATGTAGTAAAAATGGCTGGACAGAAACATGCCAGCTGCTGTTTTGGGGCTTCTGAAGGTGGAAATGTTTGTTAGATGGATGCTGTCTGTCCTCTGTAAATACGTGAACACCAGGACTTCCCAGGTTTTTCAACATTTTTTATGCAAGTTTCTTTCTTGTATTATTTTTTCCTCTTCTGTTTTATTTTTAATTTTGTGGTATAATTCCATAGGCTCTGGGATTTCCCCTACTTCCTCCCCATATTCCCTTCCTCCAGCCTATTTCTCTCAAACTATTACAATAGTATAGTCCTTCATAAGTGGTCACAAGTCCATAATTCTGTTATTTAAGTGTGTCCTGACATTGCTGGTACAGATAATGGCAGACAGTCCAGCATCCTATTGTCTAGATATATCCAATAGTTTTATTTGGAGTCCATCTTTGATTTGAAAGAGATGCACACTGCATTGTATCTTCAGATCTGGATATGATAGTCTCTATTATGCAGTTACTATACATTCCTTTAGATGAGAAACCATGAAACAAAATCAACAGGAATAAAAATAAAACAAAAGAGTTACAACACCATGGTCTTAAGTAACATGCTGCTGAATAACCAATGTGTCAGTGAAGAAATGAAAAAGGAAGCACAAAAGCTTGGAAAAAAATGATGCCACTGAGTGATCTAAGAACAGTGAAAATTTTAATGAGAGAAAAGAAATTATTTGAAGAAATGAAAATAAACAATATCAAAACTCATGGGTTGCAGCAAAAACAGTGTTGAAAGGGTTATTGATCTCATAATTTGCGTAAGGTTGCCTTATATCAGAGAACATATGATATTTGTCCTTTTGGGATTGACTTATTTCACTGAGCATAATGGTCTCTAGTTGGGACTATTTGGTTGTACATTGAGTAATTTACTTCTTTGTAATGGCTCAGGTTTTTCAGCATCTGTAGCAGGTTTACATGAGGTCCTGGTGGCTGTGTCCGATTCTTAACAGTTTACACTCGGGGCCTGGGGACTCAGGAGGAGTGTCGGACAGAATGGCTGATGAAAACTGGCTTTCTGGAAGCCAACACTGTGCTCCATTCTCTTCCGAGCGTCTGTGCATTGATTCTGCCGAGTGTGGTTCGGGTCTCAGAGTCTAGACAGATCAGCTTTAAAGAGACCTCAGACTGGTGCTCACAAGTCCTGTGGGGAAAAAGAAAGTATTGTGAGTTGCTGAGTTGATTGTAAAACATCTTCTTGTTTGCCGGAGGCTAGGCTAAGTCAGGACGGTGATGCCAATAGATTTAAAGAAAGAATGGGGCAGCACAGTCATTTAATAGCAAATACCTAGCAGGTCTAGTCAGTCAAAAGCTGTCCATGTCCAGCAGCTGTGTGGGGGGGGCCGGCTTCGAGGACGAGGACTGCAGTGGGGCAGGTGTGGCTGCAGCATCCATGAGCCTCCTTGTACCACTGCCACCCCCACCAGGCAGCCACGTTCCCAGCTGGGGCTTCCAGGGCGGTGAGTGGGCAGGCGGCAGTTAGCTGCTCATCACACATGTGCTTCCCGTTACTGTGCTCTGAAGGGAGTTAATGCTCTGACCTCAGGGAGCAGGCTGAGCGCCTGTGTTCTCACAGTCCTGGGGGTGTCCCTTGGGCCTGTGTCCTTATAGTGACATCTGCCTTTCCTTTAGATGGCTCCTCTTCCACTTCCCTGTTAAAGATTCAGTCATGTCAAGCCAGTGTTGGAAATCTCTGAATGAAATACAGTGTCTTGGCAGAGTAGAGGAAATCCACATGGATCTATCTGAATATATATACAGAAAGTGTTTGAAAAACTTAGACATCCATCTGAGATTTGAAACACACACACCCCCTACACCCACACACACCCTTCCCTGCGAGCTAGAAGTAAAAGGAAACATCCTCACCATGATGAAGGGCGTCTGTAAGAACTCTGTCACTAGTGTCACCCTCACTTCTCCCTGGACTGGTGAATGTAGCTTTATCTTAATCAGAAGCTAAGCAGGCATTTGCACAGAAATTGGCACACCGCGTATATGAAAATACAAAGGATCTGAAATGGCAAAAATGGATTTTCCTTTCATTTGAGAGCAGAGAGACACCATTCTGAGACTTTAAGTTGGTAATACAGTATAATATAATATAAAAATGAGACTTTCTTTCTCAACAGTGAAGTCGTTCAGCTGTCCCCGGCCTGTGAAGTTCACCATAGAGTGGTATTTGAAGTATCATACGTGTCACAATGAACAGTCCAAGCTGGAAGTAAGTAAAACATCTTTCCTGAATGTGAAGTTATGAAGAAAAAGATTTATATTAGGTCATCGGATGAGGAGGCTATAAATAGAGATTATAGTTTTAGAAATGCCGCAGAGCAATACTGGTATTTAAGACAGTGCATCCAAGTATATTCTGGAATTCCATGAGCTCTTAGTTTCCCAGAGGGTAGCTTATGAAAAATGTGAAGTAAGTATTTAAATGAGACATGTAGGAGCCATCTTTAAGGAAACTAGAGGTCACATACAAATAAAAAACTTCATTTGAGGAAGAAATGTAAGTTTCACTAGATTAAAAAAAAGTTTCACTAGATTAAAAAAAAAATTTAAAAAAATTAGTTCTTAGGGACCTACGAGAGAACAGTCAGATCTTGTGGAGTTGGGGAAGAGAGGAGACGTGTGGGGAGAAGCAGAGAGGAAAGGCAGGGCTGTTCGGAAGAGGGTGCAGGCGCCGCGGCACTCAGCAGCATGTGAATTTGACGACCCAGTTCCAGGACACAACTGGCACCCATATGGGATCTCGGTGCATTCAAGGGGAGGATTTAGCCACTAGGGTACTTTTGAAGGAAGACGTTTTATTCTGGCTCATAGTTTTGGAGGCTTACAGCTCAGGATTGGGTGACCCCGTGGGAGTAACATTGATGAGGGCCAAGGAGAGCGGGGTATGTGCGAGGGACGGATCGGCTGGTGAGCCGGGAAACAGAGCAGCTGGCCCGACTCAGCTCTGAAGCACCCCGTGCTGAGAGCACCCCTCCACCCCGTGGACGGAGGTGTCCACGCCTCCCACACACTGTCCTCAGCGGGAGGCTCTGAATCAGTCAGTGACCTGTAAAGTTCCGTATTTTCTTCCACGTTTATTAGCTTTCTGTTCTGTAGATGAGCTCTCGCCTTCCCTCCTCTCAGTGAATGATCAGTTTTCGCTGTTATTTTTAAAAGTTGTCACCTGTTCCTGCTCTTCTTTCTTTGTTCACATTGTCCTTTGTGTGGGCGCACATAACTTTTCTTGGTGACCAGGAGCTGCCCGGTTTCTTCATCCCTGCTGGGCTGAAAGGCTTCTCAGACTGGGGCTGTGTCAGTGAGCTCCCCCCGCCCTCTGCTGGACTCGCTGTCTTTCTTTGCTTACTTTCTTGGTAAAGTGAGATGAAACATAAGTGCCTCCAAGACAATGTATGCTTTATTTCTCTGGGAACTGTTTCCTTGTGGTGGTATCTTACGTCCTTTTGTGAAATAAGATTATATTTAGTTACACGTTACAGTATCTAAACACATTGGGGTGATTAAAATGATAAGATTATCTTAGTTATACTTAACGTTCAGAAATCCTTGCTATTTGGTTATGTATAGGTTCATTCTAAACTGAGTAATGTTTTGAATTTTTTTTTTAAGTATTAACTTCCGTTTGTCTTCTAGGACAAAGAACGTGGAAATAAATTATAACATAGAGTTTTATCTTGGGTAGGAGCTGGCCCGGGAACATGAAGACTTTTGTAGTTATTTCAAGAACGTTGACTGTTGGACTGCAAAATATGAAAACTTGGATTGCAGTAGTGATTTGCAAGTGTTCCCCTCACTGAATGTGAGTAGCCCTCTTTCCGTGTGAACACAGAGTTCCTTGTATTCACAGTGAACACACGCGTGAGCTGCCCACTCCGTCAGAGTGCTCGCTGGGAGAAGTGTTCTGTCTGGTCACGCAGCTTTGGCTCTGTGTGTGTGATGCTGCATTGTGGAAGTGCCTGGTGGCAGCATCCTTGTGAGAATCGGATCCAGTGGCTCTCGTCCTGTCTCTACTGCTCTCATGCCTTGGCCCCCGTGATCTCATCACAACCGTTCTCGTCAAGGTCACCCATGACTCTGTGTTGTGAAATCCAGGATGCAATTCTTGCCATGAACTTGAGCTGCCAACATTAACATTTTTTTTCTTTTAAAGATATGTTTATTTTTATTGGAAAGACACATTTGTAGAGGAACTACAGGGAAAAGATCTTCCATCTGCTGATATACTACCCAAGTGGCAGCCACGGTTGGAGTTGAGCTTATCCAAAGCCAGGAGCTAATAACTTCTTTGGGTCTGCCACGTGGGTGCAGGGTCACAAAACTTTGGGTCGTCCTTGACTGCTTTCCCAGGAAGTGGGAAGTGGAGCAGCTGGAACACGACCTGGTACCCATATGGGATCCTGGTGTATGCAAGGCAAGGATTTAGCCACTCTGCGATCATACTGGGCCCAGAATTGACACTTTGGAATACTTCCATTTCTCCCTCCAAGCATGGGAGGTAGATTCTTAAAATGCTGGGCCCGGTATGATAGCCTGGTGGCTAAATCCCCGCCTTGTACGCGCCAGGATCCCATTCGGGCATCTGTTTGTACCCTGGCTGCTCCACTTCCTTTCCAGCTCCCTGCTTGTGGGCTACAAAAGCAGCAGAGGGTGGCTCAAAGCCTTGGGTCCCTGCACCCGCATTGGAGACCTAGAAGAGGCTCCTGGCTTTGGATCGGTTCAGCGGTGGCCATTGCTGCCACTTAGGAAGTGAAGCTGTAGATGGAAGATCTTTCTGTTTGTCTTCTCTGTGAATCTGCCTTTCCAATAAAAATAAGTAAATCTTAAAATTTTTAAAAATTCTTAAAATGCTGACAGCATTCTTACTGGGCAGTGAGATTCAGGATCATTTTAGCCTACGTTTTTGTTCTTTAAATTCCAAAATGAAAGTAAATCTTTAGGAAAATTTTTTAAGCATGAGTTAAAGTGTGGGACTAGCACGATGGTTCAACTGGCTAATCCTCCATTTGCCAACACCAACAAACCATATAAGTAAGTGGTGTTTTATGGCCTGGCTGTAACACTTCTGATTTAACTCTCTATTTATGGCCTGGGAAAACAATAAAGGATGGACCAGAGCCTTAGGACCTTGTACCCATGTGGGAGGTCAGGAAGAGGTGCCTAGCTCCCAGCTTTGGACTGGTTCAGCTCTGGCCATTGCAGCTGTCTGGGGAGTGAACCAGCAGGTGGAAGATCTTTCTGTCTTTCCTTCTCTCTTTAAATCTCCTTTCCGGTGAAAACAAATAAGTTTTCATTTTAAAAAGTGTAGTAAATGTAGTAAAAATGACCTGCAAACGTTGCCCTCATTCAGCTTGGCACCTCTAAGCCCTTTAGTTGTGATCATTCCCCCAGGAATGGGGAACACCATCCAGCAGCGACCACACTCTTAAGGACTTTTGTACTCATAGTTAGCATATGCTAAGATTGGTTAGCAGATGCCCAGCTTTTCAAACGTTTACTTCTCCCTCTTTTTTTTTTTTTCCTTATTACGACTACTTTTTTTTCTCATAGAAATACAGAAATATAAAATGCAATTCTTTTCTTTTTTTTTTTCCAGAATAAAGAGCTAGCAACAAATGTCAGAAATATTTCAAGCCAGGAAGGATCAATGGTAAGCTACTTTATTTATGTTTAGAATTAAATATACACAAGTTATGTGATAAGACTGAAAAAAAATCTTGTCAACATTGTGGTACATTGAGTGAACCTGCTGCAGCCCTCACGGAGTGCTGGCTCAGGCCCAGCTGCTCTGCTTCCAGTCTAGTGGCCTGGTAGTGCGCCTTGGAAACAAGGGCATGAAGACCCCAGGATTCAGGTCGCTGGCATCTGTAATATTTTTCTGGGACCCTGAGTTTGCTCTGTCTGTTGTGAGCATTTCAAAAATGAACCAGCACTCATCTCTCTCTTATCTCTTCCTCTCTGTCACTCTATCTCTGAAATAAAGAAATAATTGTTCATTTTTAAAAGAAGAAGAATCTGAAGGATAGATAAAGTGGGATCTTCATAAAGTTCATGAAAAATACATATTATTGAAGTGGCTACTTGTAGATTAAGAAAATATTTTTCTCCAAAATATTTTGGTGCTGTTTTTCTGAAAGTACCTTTCTACTTGGAGTGTGATTTAAATTAGGGTTATTAGAATTGAGAAAGGAGAAAAACTTTTTTTTTTTTTTTTTAGAAAGATTGCTTATTTGGGGGCCTGGCACAGTGGCCTAGTGGCTAAAGTCCTCGCCTTGCACACCAAAATCCTGTATGGGCACCAGTTTGTATCCCAGCTATTCCACTTCCCATCCATCTCCCTGCTTGTGGCCTGGGAAAGCAGTCGAGGACGGCCCAAAGTCTTGGGACCCTGCACCTGCGTGGGAGACCCAGAAGAAGTTCCTGACTCCTGGCTTTGGATCTGTGCAGCACTGGCTGTTGCGGCCACTTGAGGAGTGAGTCAGCCAATGGAAGATCTTCCTCTCAGTCTCTCCTCCTCTCTGTGTATCTGCCTTTCTGATAAAAATTTTTAAAAATCTTAAAAAAAAAGATAACTTTTTCAATTTGAAAACATTATTGAGAGAGGAGGAGAGAAGCGTCTTCTGTCTTCTGAGTCACTCCTCAGCTGGGTGCAACAGCCAGATTTTGTCAGACCAAAGAACCCAGAGCTGCTTGTGGGTGTCGGGGTATAATCTTGGACCGTCTTCTGCTGCCTTCTAGGTGTGTTAGCAAGGAGCTGGATCTGACAGCACTCATTATGGGCTGCTGCTGCACAACACTGGCCCAAGAAATATTTAAAGATGTGTTCTTGTATATATCTGTATGAATTTGTGAACACTGTTTCTGACTTCATCTTTTCAAAATCATAGTTTAACTTCTATGCAGCTTTTTTTTTTTTTAATTTCACTTTTAGATATGTAAGACAGCAGAGTAGTCAACTGTTGGCTCTCAGAATATAAAGAAATGTGTGAAAGCCACAGATGTAGCTCCCAGGGAGGGAGTTTTGGTATTTGGGGGGCTTCCTAGGCGTGATGACGAGTCATGTATGGAACCCGGGAGCGGTCTTAGGAGAGCTTGACGCTGGCTTTATACTGTAACTCTGAGTGTCTCTCCCTCCCCGGCCATTTCTCATTCCCTTTGCAGTGGCCAGTCCAGACTGCACACGTGCCTTCCCACAGCCCAAAGGAATGGAGGGAAGGAAAAGGAAGTACTGAGGAAGGTGGGCTGCAAAGCGTCTGGTCCAGTTATGTGGGGGATTGGAGGAGTGATTGGGGTTCTGTCAGGCAGTGGTAGTCCTTGGTGAGGCTGTAGGTAGCATAGTGTCTTAAGGAATCTTTTAGCCTATGTGTAAATGATCTGTGTCAGCACTCCTCCTGGGAATTCAACCCAACTGAGATTGAAAGCATTCTAGAAAAGGTACAATGCAGTGTAATCACCATGTCGCATATTCATGGTGTTAGCTACTAATGATCTAGAGGTGATTGGACGTATATATGAAGATGTGCAGAAGTTTGGCAAGTTGTCCGCCAATCTGCCTAAGGAACTTGAGCGTCTGCAGATCCTGCTGTCCACAGGAAGGGGGATCCAGACTGTACTGAATCTGACTGATTTCTGATGGGTTATCTAATTGCTTCCTTCCCCATCCCAGTTATTTTAAATGCACATTTAATTAAATTGAATGCCTTATAACATTAAGATGAAACATAAGAAAAATATTTGATATGAGAAGCCTAATTGGTTTATGCTGTGTATATGTTTTGAAGAATTACACTGTACCCCATAAAAATGTATTACTTATTAATTAAGCATTTTAAATAAAAATATTTGGGGGTGGGTGCATGACCTAGTGGCTGTGTCACTGCTTGGGGTACCTGAGTCTCACATCAGAGTGCCTGGTCCGAGACCCAGGTCCTCTGCTCCTGGTATGCGTCCTTGGAGGAAGTAGGTGACAGCTCAGGTAGCTGGGCCCCGCTGCCCATGTGGGAGACCTGGATGGAGTTCTAGACTCCTGTCTTTGGCCTGACCCAGCCCTGGGTCTGTTGTGGACATTGAAGAAATGAATTAGCAGATGGATAATCTGTCCCTTCATCTCTCCCTTCCTTTGCTTTCCAAATAAAATGGAAATAAATAAAAATGTTAAGTTATTTGAATTGTAATATCAAATAAAGCAGTGGTAACATTGGGACAAGTTGATAGAACTAGGAAAGATCAGAGACATCACGGAGTGAGGAGAGCTCCGGCCGGCCGCCCTTGGAGTCGGGGCGAGTGGTGGGGACGCCGCCCGTGCTTCCCCGCTGCCCCTTGCTTTGCTCTGTGTGGTTCGTGTTTTTGGAAAGCAACCCAGTTCAGTTTCCAGCATTTAAATGTGGTGCACGGTTGTTTACTGTTGCTTATATAGCCATTTGTTAAGAATAATAAAGGATTTTTTTCCCTCTTTTTCAGGATGTTGTGGCCAGAACACAGAGAGATGGATTTCATATCTTTATTGTGTCTATTAAAACAGAAAAAGTAGATGCGAGCTGGAATTTGAATGGTATCGTTAAGCTGCATGCGTGTTCACTCTGCATTTTCTGAACTCTGTGTTTTTGTCATTGACCCAAATCTGCTTCTCTGTTAAAAACTCATCCTTCAAAATGCATGTCCTTATTTAAAGGCTTAAAATGCCATGCTTTTATTAATGCTAATACTGAGTTCCTAATGGATTAAAAACTCTGTTGAGCAAAAAGTAAAGATGAACTATTTTATTGACAAATAATAATGTGTATTTAAGATAAAATTTTTAAATTATTTTTATTGTTTTCCATGATGCTTTTTTTTCTTTTTTTGTCTTGTGCTCTCCTTTCTTCCATTGTTCTTCTCCCTTTTGTCCTCCCCTTTCTTCCCCACTTTCCCTTCCGGCCATTTCCCTCGTATTACTACAGTAGTATGCAGTGCTGTAACAGTTACAACTTTAACATTCTGCTATTTAAATACATCATCGGATTGTCAGTTTAGACAGTGATAGAAAATCTAGTATCGTACTGTCGAAGTGTGTTTACCTGCTTCGCTGGAGTCCACCTTTCGTTCGGAAGCAGAGATGCGTACTGTGACATATCTCCACTTCCTGGTGTGCTAGTCTCTATTGCACAGTTTGTCTATGAGAATATATGTGTGTACTTGTTCACCTACACATCTATTTGTTTTGGATTTTGCATGAAGTTTGCCTTAGAGAAAATGTATTTGTCCTTTTAGGGATTGGCTCATTTCCTTGAGTGTAATGGTCTCTGGCTGGGACCATTTTGTTGCAAATGGTAGGATTTCATTCTCTTCTTATGGTTGTGTAGTGTTCCATGAAATAGAACAGCTTCTTTATGCACCCCTCTCTTGAAGGACAAATTTTAAAGTTTGTAGTAGAATATAAAAATGCATATTTTCAGGCTTAAAATGAGTAGGCAATATCTTTATCATATTTAAAGTGGATTATGTTCTTCATTTCTTTCTCATAACCATAACTGGGGGTTCAGAATTTTTGTTATTTAGAATAGTCTATTTTAAAGGATCTGGAGCATAGCGGTGACGGTTAACATCCTGCCAGCCGTGGCTTGCATAATCTGTCCCACACCTCCTGCCCACGGTGGACCCTGTGTGCCTCTGTAAGCTCTGGTTCTCTGGTGCTCACAGGAGCAGCCTCAAGGCAGCAGCTCGCAAGGGCAGGAGTGCTTTCACAGGTCCCAGGGTTGGTTCCTCTAGTGTTTTCTAGACACCGGGTCTGTTGGACCAGTGAAGGGCCAGGGCATGTGCATGCTGCTCATGTTCCCCCACTGGGACCGGAAAGTAAAGCCAAGCCTGGCTTCTCTATGTTGGGGACGAGGGTGGCAGAGGGCAAGAACCAATGAGGAGAGACATACATGAGCGTGGAGAAGGTTGCTGAGGGAGGGGTGAAGGTGTCCTCCCGGAGTCGGCGGTCATGGGCCAGACTGCCCGGTGGAGGGAGCAAGGACCCTGATGCCATTCTGCCTCCTGGCTATCCCGCTGCTTCCCTGTGGCTGTGACACAATCCCTCACGCCCACGAGCCTGTACAGAATAAACACCAAAGTGTTGAGTTCAGTTCAGGGCAGCTTCCCTGTTCTGTTAATTAAACTTTGGGACATTGAAAGGGGCTGGGAGATAGAACTGGATAGAAAATATCATGCTATTCATTTATCTCCCAGACTACACAGATATTTCCTTGCCGTTTTGGAGGCTAGAAAGTTCAAGATCAAGGGCTAGCAAGTGTGGTTGTCTGGTGACAGTCCAGTGTGTGCTTCCAAGGTGCCCTGTACTGTGTTCTTGTGTGGTAAAAGAGCACAAAAGGTGTTTAAGCTGTGCCTTCTAGCTCCGTTTGCCAGGGAATTACCCCAAAGCCCCGCCTCTTAACATCACCGCAGTGGGGTTCAGATTGAGCACACAGCTTTTGGGGGGCATTCAGACCATGTCACAGTGGCCCTTTGTGCCCTCTTTCCTGGTCTTGCTTTGTTCCGCTGACGTCACCAGGCAAGTTAGTAATCAGAGTTGCCTCGGGTGTCTTTCGTTGTCCTTGACACTGTTTATTACTATGATTTTTCAGATAAAGCCCAGTCTAGAGGCCCAGCTTAGGTTAAAGGAAATCTGTGAATCTGCAGGAAGGCACGCTACAGTTGTGCTTGGTAGCCCAGCGACACTGTGCTTCCTGTGAAAGATCAGATCAGTGCAGATGGTTAGCTACAGGAAAAGAGATCTCAATCCGATTGCATAAACAGACGGCTACTAATTAGCAGCTTGGGTATGTTAAGTAAAACTTGGGTGTTTGCTAGTATGGCTTGTATTCTTGGAGTTCTCTGGAAAATGAGCTTGTTTGTAAAGATTGAAGAAACCTGAGGATTAACTTTCATTTTTCTCTTTTCTCCTCCTGCTGTCCACAGTGTCTCTCTCCATGGTGGGGCCCCACGGGTATATCTCTGCATCAGATTGGCCTCTCATGATTGTGAGTGGTTTTCATTTTTTTCCCCCTTAAGATGTGTTTTGTAACATTTTTGGAAAACATAAAACGTAGAAACTTGGGGGTGATTATCTGCCATTATCTAATGCTCTGACATATTCTCCATGTTTGGTTCCAGGGTGAGAAATGAAGTGTTTATTATACTTTGTTGTAGAAATTCCATGTCAGATGATGCAAAGGCCTGCCTGATAGCGCTGCCTCTCTTCCCACAGTTCTACATGGTGATGTGCATTGTTTACATATTGTACGGTGTTCTCTGGCTGATGTGGTCTGCGTGTTATTGGAAAGACATATTAAGGATCCAGTTCTGGATTGCAGCCGTTATTTTCCTAGGAATGCTTGAAAAGGCAGTTTTTTATACTGAATACCAAAACATCAACAGCACCGGCCTATCAAGTAAGTTTAACTGTGTCCCTAATTCTAGCATGATCCAGAAATTTCCTAGCGTTTGTGAGCAGAGCTGTGGCTCATGGAGGCCCCATCAGCACCACTTCCACAGGAGGCAGTGTGAGCAGGGGCCGTATTGATCTTCTGACCGTGTCCAGACGCTGGGAGGTAGATCGCAAAAGGACAGAGAAGTAAAATGCAAGTGCCCCTTACCCCAGCCCTACGGCCGGGAGAGAGCTCAGAGCTGTGTGTGGGGACCCTCTCTGTGACTCTTCCTTTCAAATAAATAAATGTGTGGGAAAAAATTTCCAGAAAGAAAAGTAAATTGAGGAACATCTCATATGGATGCAGAGTAAGAATCTCGGCCTCCTCCACTTCTGATCCAGCTTCTTGCTGGTGCATCTGGGAAAGTAGTGGAGATGATGTAAGTGCTTGGGCCCCTGCACGTGGGAGACCCAGAAGAGGCTCCTGGCTTCAGGCTGGCCTAGCCTTGGTAATTGTGGCCATTTGTGAGTGAACCAACAGATGAGAGAAAAAAAAAATTATGTCTCCGTCTCTTTCTGTCACTCTTTCAAATAAATCCTTAAGAAAGAGAGAGAGGGGGAAAAAAAAGTGGGAGGGAGAAAGGGATGAAGGACAGAGGGTTGGAATTTGCCATGATCAAACAAAGAAGAACATAGGAAAACTCATGGAGACAGGTTTCCTACTAAGAGAAAATTAGCTGCACCCAGCAGAGCTGATCTGATGCAGAGTGAGACCTTTCACTGTGGCTTTTAGACATCATTTGGATTAGAGGACTTCTGAGTCCAGTGTGGCTGCTGGGCCCACAGCCATAGGGTCGTTGTGTGCAGTGCACCTGATGGGCTTGGTGGGCAGCTGTGGATGTGCACACAATGAGCAGTTTTTCCTTTCCTCCCTTCAGCCCAAGGTCTGTTGATCTTTGCGGAGCTGATATCTGCGGTGAAGAGGACGCTGGCTCGCCTCCTGGTGATCATTGTGAGCTTGGGCTATGGCATTGTGAAGTGAGTATTGGTGGGTGGAAGTCAATCCAGGTCTCCTGCCCAGTGGTTTAGTCCCTCTGCACTAAGCAGAAAGTTCAATGTCAGTACAGACGCCAAAAAGAGCAGACTTAACAAGCATGTGCTTGTAAAAAGTTTCTTATTTTATGTCACCTACAATTAAAGACCTTGAATTTGAATTTTTGTTAGGTGGATAAATAACCAACGTGAAAAAAAATGGAAACATGTCAAATGATTCTTTCTTTAAATTTTATTTTAATGTTTACGTAGTTGATTAGGGTGGGAAGGGTCAAGGGTTAGAGGAAAGTGGGTGAGACTATTGTTTTTAAATTTTCTTTTTTCTTCTTCCTGTATCTGGGGAAGAGAGGAGGCGAGTGGAGAAGCAGTACCCTTCCTCCCAACCACTTTAGCACCCAGGGATGGGGCACAGCTACTTGATGTCAACCCAGGGTTCTCAATGTGGAGCATGCTCTGAGAGTTCTGCTGAAGTGATTTCGAAAGTTCTGGGTGTAAGATAGTTTTCATTCTCGGGTCTTTTTTCAAGCTACTGATCTCTTTTCTGTCCCCAAACCTCCTGGTGTCCAGCAGCCCAAGCATTCCCGCAGGGTCTCCTTGCTGCACTTTCCTGTTGCAGTCACCTGGTAGCCCCGGAAGTCTCTTTCCTTGCTCGGCACCCTGAGCACTCACTTGCACATCTTTCTGCCTGGCACTTGCCTGTCAGCAGGCAGTGAGGAGCACACAGTGATGGAGTTCCGTCCCCTGGTATCCTCTTTCTCTGCCAAGTCGCAGGTTGGGGATTATCTCTTAACAAAGTGCAGCCCAGGATAATGTCAGTGGAGGACTTAAATTACAATCTGTGCCGGTGGCACTTACAGGTTGGCGCTTGTTTTGCTGGATTTCAGCAGCCGTGCTCTTCCATGTTAGAAATAATGCCAGCCATGTGTTAACCACATGGCTTATATTTAGTGGTGAAGTCTGGCATTTTTGTGCTCAGGACACCCCTTCTTGTGATTTTACAGGGCTTAAGTCTTAGAAGAAGAGACCCATTTTCTTAGGTCTCTGTTTCTGCTGTGTTCTCAGGAAATCCAGTGTTTGCAACTAGGCCATGCCTCACTGCAGGTTCAGAGCAATTGGGTCAGATGGTGACTTCTGTGATCTCGGAACAGGGGCCCACTCCCATATTCTGACACATTGAACTGACCAGGCTGTTCTAATTTTCTGTCTCCCATCCCCTCTGTTATTGCAGGCCTCGCTTAGGAGCAGTCATGCACCGGGTGATCGGACTGGGGCTGCTGTACTTCATCTTCGCAGCTATTGAAGGCGTGATGAGAGTCATCGGGGTAAATGGGACATATTCCCTCCACCCACCCTGGTTGTTGCTGTGAAATGAGATCACCAGCTTTGTAGCTCCTCGGGTGAATTCTTAATGATGGAACAGGCCCAATTTGAGTTTCTTCCCTGGACATATTTCCCCGGAAGCTGGATGTTGGGCAGAGAACTTCTTAAGTGGGTGTCTCTAGATGTTGTCTCAGGAATTAGTTCCATCCTAGAAATGTTTATAAGTGTTTATCACTAAGAGCGTTTGTCCTTGTCATCGTGCAGTTTGTACACAACCATGTCCTCAGTAACGCTGACTTTGAAAGTGTGAGTCAAGTAAACAGAAAGTTAATCATCCAGAGCAGACAAACACACGTCTGGTGTGATTTGCTCTAAGTTTTCTCTGACTTTCTAGAGAAATATCAGTATTTATGTCTGTGAGGACCCTCACTTTTCTAGCTTCAGTTTTCTTAAGAAGTGGTTAAGGACTTGGTATATTACTTCTCATCTGATTCGAAAATCCTTGTAATTTTAACCAAAGGGGTCTTCTGGATTAGAGGCGTACGTGAGATCACTGCCCAGGGTGGTTAAGTTTACTTTTATTTATTTGAGAGGCACAGAGAGCAAGAGCTCCTGCCACCCAGGGCTTACCCGTACCCACTGCAGCCTGCAATGTAGGCGGGTGAGGGTTGAAGTTGGAAATACAGCCTAGGTCTCCCACACGGATGGCAGGAACCCATAGACTTGGGCCATCACTGCTGCCTCCCCGTAGCTGCTATCGTAGGAAGCTGGAGTCAGGCATTCAACCAAGGACTGCACTGTGGCCACCGAGGGCCTAACTGGCAGGCTGGATGCCTGCGCCTACCTCACAGACGGATCGGATCCTTGAAGCAGGACATTGATCCCACAATGTTTTAAAAGAATTCATTCTTCCTCCTCTTGACTTTTGATACATCAGCCTTTCATGCTAGCTATACCTGCCCTTTTCTTCTTCAAGTGTATTTATTTTTACCTTTACATAATCACGAAAACCTCTGAATCTCTGTATGTTGTTTACACAGAGTTAACTTGACTTTGCTCTTGTCCTTTCCCAGCACAGTCAGGAAAGGTCACGGGTCCTGGTAGGGCTGGTCAGGTGCAGGTGAGTGTGAGATGATTGGCCTAGCTGAGCTTGGTGACATGTTGCTTGTAGCCCCCATCCCTTCATACAGTTTTATATTGCAATGATGAAACGTAAAGATGACAGAGTCACATTTGCTGCTGCCAAAAGAGACAGTTTCCATGTTCTTGAACATAGTTCTCCTAGGAAATAAATGTTTCTGCTGCACTGTAAAGTGATAGAATAAGCTGAGTTGTTTTTCTTCATTAGATGCTATTGCTATGATATAATTCAACTTTTACACTTTACCTACTTTCCCCCGCCCCCAAACCCATTTTTATCTTCCAGGGTTCTAACCATTTGTCTGTTTTTGTGGGTGACATTGTTTTAGCAATTATTGACTCCATTTTTATATGGTTCATATCCTTTACTTTGGAATTTGTTTATATCACTGCTTTCAGAGTGCTTTTAATTTGTAATAATAATAAAAGAAATATAGTTACACATTATTGTTACCTTAGCATAGAACTTTAGTTGGAAGTGAATAAGTAAGAATATTCCAAGCATGGAATATCTTTTTTTTTTTCCTATTTAGTTCGGCATGGATGAAAAAGGTGCTGACCCTGTATGAAGGGATGCCGAGCCTGGGAGTGGAGACAGCTGTGAAGTGAGAGCAACACAGCAATAGTACTGCACTGTTGGGTGCTGTGGTTCTGAATAGGGGAAGAGAGAAATTAATGAGACTTGACAGAGGGGGCAACATTAAAATTGAGACAGGGAGGATAAGTAGCAATTCACTGGAGGAGATGCAGTCTGGGAAAAACTGAGGGGAATATGTATTTGGAAGCATGAGAACACAGGGGGTTAGGTGTGGAACACCCCAGGGTAACTCAGCACAGGTGAATAGGTGTGGGAGAATCATTGCAGGTGGCACCAGAAGGGAGAGAAGAAATGAAGTTTCCAGTTCCTCCTGAAGGCAGAAAATAGAGAGGAATCAAAGCTGTGCATATGAGTAACTTGATGAGCTCTGTTTTACAAAGAGCTCAAGGATGGCCAAAGACCATCCTTTGGGAGAAGCGACTCGAGGCAGTCGTTTGCAATGGTCTAAAGAGGTGGCGGGGTCAGAAATAAGGTGGGGAGATAGGAATGTGAGTGCAGATGGTAGACCTGTTAGAAACAGGTGACAGTGAAGGCAGGCATCTCTGCAAAGAAGTCTTGCCTATCGTATTTGGTTGGCTGGGGCAACGCTGCCATTCCAGGGCAGTGAACCTGGAGGAGGGACCATTAGGAAGGCAGTCTGAGCTACCCAGAACATTCCTGCGAAGAGTCAGAAGTGATGGTGAAGCTTGGAGGTCATGTGCAAGGGAGCTGCTGGCAGCTTTGGAGTAGCTCTAAAGAGCACTTAGACCAGCGAGGAGAAGGCATAACCAGGATGGTGCCTGGAGGGAAGTCCAGGGGAAGATAGAGGTGAGGGCAGTTGGCAGTGCCCGGTGCTGCAGAGTCAGCCATACCAGGCACCCACGTGGGAGTCATTCCAGGGGCTGACGCCATGCTGCTGTGGGGGAAGCTTGAGAGGCCGTGGGTCTCGCGTGGCCTCCTTTGATTTACTGACAGCAATTGAGTGTGGAGAGTTCCTCAGTTTGTTTCCTCGTTTTGGCACTCGTGGAAATGGGAAGCATTCTCCAGAAGACTACCTGGTCAGAGGGAGATGCAGTGCTCTGCAAACGCCAGAGCATGACTCGTCTGTTTGCTGTGTCTGTGTCCTCTTAGGCATGCCTTCCTAATAAATGTGTTTCATTTTTATCATGTTCTTTTGCTTCTGTTGGCTGCCTTCCATGCTGTGTCTTTCACCTTTACATTTTCTTGTTTTATGTTCACCGTATCTCTTTGCATTTCCCCTCCCTATGTCTCATCTCCCTTGATGCTGGGATACTAACACAGCGCTGCCAGCAGTCGACTGTGCCCAGTCCTTCGGGGGGGCTTCCCACGCCTGAGCTCTCTAAGCTTTAGAATTTCCTCCCTGTGACTTCTCAGTGTGCTTTCAGGTTAAAAAAAAAAAAAAGCCAAATTACTCTTTTTAAACCTTACTCTTCATCTATGACCTTCTGAAATCATAGATGCCTTTGCAATTCTAGTGAGAACTGTGGGGTCTCCCCACAGAATACAGACACCCACCCAGTTCTCATAGGACAGGCCGCTTGATTTAAGAAGCTGTTTCTGATTGAACTGGCATAAGTAGCCCTGTTCTGATTATATTCAAAGCTATTCATTTAGAAATCCAAGTTTACTGAGTAAAATGAGAGTTTAAATCTGATTTTCTCAGAGGGATAGAAATATCTTCCTCTAATGGCATTTTTCATGTTTTCTTCATTAAATAACACTTAGAGACATTCTGTTGCTAAGATGGCAGAATGTAGGTGTACTTCAAGAAATTACCAGATAAATGACATTGAAAAACTTCATTGAGCATGAAAGCTGCTCACGTCTGTGCGTGCAGGCATTTGCCTCGGTCCTGTGTGTGAGGAGAGGTTCAGTGATAAAGGGACTGGTCCCAAAGGCCGTGGGCCCTGTGCAGCTGTGACGTGCTTCCTGCCACGATGTCACTCATGTTGAGACCGGGCAGGGAGTCTAAACACATGTGGAGCTGCGACAGACAGAACCACAGTGATCCCAGCTGCTGGCCTGTCTCAGAGCTTAAACGTGTTGCCTGCCGCCATCCTGTGTTTAAAACACGAACCCAAGATGATAAATTCCATTTGGAATCATTCTGTTTCTAGAATCGTGTGTGCTTGGAGCCTTTCGCAGATTGAGGCAGTTAAGTCCTTCAGTTAATTCAACTGTAGACTATGCATTTTACAAGAGTGTGTACCATCTTTTCTCCTCGCAATTTACAGAGAGGTGTTTAAAAGATTTTGATCATCACTCTCCACAAGGTAGTTCATAGGGAAAAGAATTCAGTAATGCAACGACTTGACAGAAAATTCCAGAGAAAAGCAGTTCTAATTCCACCTGGATCTGAATGAGAGTAATTGATTGTCTTTATGGGTAACATTGACTTCAGTACTTTCCAGGACACAGTGAGCCAGACTGAGGTGAGGAGAGGAAGAAAACAGCATGCCAAGTTTAGTTTGCTTGCTTGGTAATGTTTGTAATGCAAGTGTGGAAATAGTCATAAGAAAATAAAGAAATTAAAAATAGCTTAGTGTTTCCCAGTGAAAGAAAGGAAATCCATTGTTCCATTTCCTCTTCCACCGAAGCTGGAAAGTCGGCTTTCAGATTTCTCTTGAGTAATTATTACTAAAGTGTGAAAAGCCTGCTTTCTCAGTGCAAAAAGATAGTGCCTTTCCAAAATGATCACCAGTGAGGCAAATGCAACAGACTAGACACCCTAGGAATGAGTTCCTGCCTTGGATAGTGACCCTGCCTCCTCTCGTTTTGGTGAGCTTACTGTGGCTAATTCTGTAACACTAATGCTGTCGTAACGGGAAAAGTAGCCCGAAAGATTAAACTGTCGTAACCTTTCTCGCGTGCTGCTGCTGTTTCTGCTGGTTGGTTGTATATTTTTGCTGTTTTGCTGCAGGCGAATGACTCTGATCTTGTCCTGCTGGCCAGCCTGCCCCTGTCCCTGCTTGACTCTGGCTTGTGCTGGTGGATATCCTTTTCCTGTTGTGCTTAGGCTTCGGGACCATGGGCTTCGTGCTACTTTCTTCTAATGGGAGTAATGATCTAACCTTGACCTCAGTCTGATTTAAACAGAGGCTTAGGCACTTTGAGATGGGTTTTTTTTTCCTTCCCCTCTTTTTTTTTTTTTTTAAGGATTTATTTATTTGAAAGGATGGGAGGGAAAGATTCTCTATCCAGTGTTTAATTACCTAGATGATTACACAAGCATGGTGCTGGTCCAAGACCACCCAGAGCTATCCAGGTCTCCCATTGTGGGTGACTGGGGCCCAGGCATTTGTTCCAGCAAGCACTGCTTTTCCCAGGTACATTATTAGCAGGAAGCTGGATTGGAAGTAGAGTTGCCAGGCTTGAGCCAACGCTCCAGTAAAGGATTCCAGAGTCCCAAGTGGTAGCTTAACTCGCTGCATCATAATGTCAGCCCCTATCTTTGGCTTTTAAAAAGCATTTTGAATTATTAAGCAAGACCAGGTGGTTTGGTCTTGTTTTGCTGTGCTGAGAGAACAGCATATTTGCATACTCGTCAGTACTAATGCTCGGCTTAATTGATTGGGTTGTGTTACTTTAAGACTTACGTTTTTATTGGAAAGGCAGATATATAGAGAGAAAGATCTTCCATCTGTTTGTCCACTTCTCAAGTGGTCTCAACGGCAAGAGCTAGGTTGATCCGAAGCCAGGAGACAGGCGCTTCTTTGGGGTTCCCCACAAGGGTGCAGGGTCCCAAGGACTAGGGCTGTCCTCTGCTGATTTCCCGGGACACAAGCAGGGAGCTGGATGGGAAGTGGAGTAACCAGGACATGAATCAGCACCCTTATGGGACCCCGGACATGCCAGGCAAGGGTTTAGCCACTAGGCTATTGCGCCAAGCCCGGATTATGTTACTTCAGACGTTGTTCTCCTTTTATAATTTATTGCTCACTTAGAAAGTTGAGAAGCAGTTTTGGTAATGTTAGTACTGCAGTGAGGTTTCTGATGAACAAAGTATTTAGAACTGAAAACACAGGACTTGCTCAGCTCTGTCATTTTCAGTGTTGGTCTGTCCCAGGGGAACCCACGGTGCCTTGAATGCCAGCTTCTTGCAGAGGGATCAGTAGGAAAGTCTTTTTGCTTCTTCAGGCTTGACGATGTTGACTCTTACCCTGAGCCCTGTTCTGGGAAGGAGCCAAGGTTCAGAAAAGCTCTGCCATTTGCACTGTGTGACAGGACCACTGCAGAGAGCCCCCCCCCCCCCCAGACTCAGCTGGACACCCCCTCCCTTCTTCCTTCCTTTACCTTTGTCCAAGCCAGACCCAGCTCTTCCAAGTTCCCATTCTGGGCCTCGTGAATGAGGGAGTAGCTTTTTGCATCCCCAGGTCTCACTCTCCCAGGCCCTGAGCTGCACCTGCCCCAGCTGACACTGGCCTCCTTAAGGGTCTTACTCACCCCCGGCTAGGCTGCAGAGCTCAAGCACAAGACTGGTCTGCCTGTCCAGATACTGCCACCAGCGGCGACGTCTGACAGCTGTAGGTCACTCATCCTGGAGGCCTCGTATTCTCACTGTGGGGCTGGCTGCTCCACTCACCACAGAAGCCCAGCTTTACTTCACAGTTCAGGTTTTTCTAATTTACATAGTGGCGTTGATAGGTGACGTAACTTGTTCATGTGTGATCAGTCACCACGTAAAATGAGGACAGAGTAGGAAAAGCAAACCAGAAAAGAAGCAGAGAGACTATAGCAGACGCCACACGGGAAGAGTGCCCGCAGCAGGCCCTGCAGGTGCAGTCCCTGCCCATGCCGTGGGAGCTGGTCCTGAGCGAACGTGTTCCCGTGTGCTTGGTGGCGTTTTGCCCTTGGAACTAGAGTAGAGTTCAGGCTGGAAAACTTAAGAAGTAAAATCTGTGATCAAGGCAGGGTCCTGGTGATCAGGTATTGGCTAAGTAACATTCTAAGCTTCAGTTTTTTTTTTTTTTTAAAGATTTATTTTTATTATTTATTTATTGGAAAGGCGGATATACAGAGAGGAGAGACAGAGAGGAAGATCTTCCGTCCGATGATTCACTCCCCAAGTGAGCGCAACGGCCAATGCTATACTGATCCAAAGCCAGGAGCCTCTTCCGAGTCTCCCACGCGGGTACAGGGTCCCAAAGCTTTGGGCCGTCCTCGACTGCTTTCCCAGGCCACAGGCAGGGAGCTGGAAGGGAAGCGGGGCTGCCGGGATAGAACTGGCGCCCATATGAGCTCCTGGGCGTGCAAGGCGAGGACCTTAACCACTGCGCCACTGCGCAGGGCCCCTAAGCTTCAGTTTTAAGAACTGCATTTGGCAGTTTTAAAAACTATCTTTGGAAATGTGGAAGATTCTTACTCTGTTTTGCTTGCTTATTACTTAGTTACAATGTTTTTTCCTTAACCCTTTCTACATTTTTATAAGTCTGGCACAAACCATGAAGACCCTCAGGCTAAGAAAGAACACTGTAAAATTTTCGTTGTACAGACACTTTACAAACACTCTGATCTTTGCTGTGCTGGGTGAGTTATTTAATTTTTCTTTTTAATATGAAAGCATTTTGGAGTTATATGTTCTTTCAAAGGTGACTTTTGTCTTTCAGCTTCTATAGTATTTATGATATGGACAACTAAGACATTTAGAATCGCAAAATGCCAATCAGTAAGTATAATCTTCCTATTTAAACAGCTGTCATTTGAAATCATACTGTTTTATTTTGTGAAATTTTGAAGAATTTAGCTTGTGTTTGCAGATAGAGGTAATGTCAGTGGGGATTTTCTGCTGGCTGTTTTGTAAACAATTACATAAAATACTTTCCCTCCTTTAAATCTGAGAGTTCTTAAATCTTTTTCTCAGCTTCTTGTGTATTTTGCAAAACAAAACACAAAACCCCCCTCAGCTCTCGTATAGCTTAATAGGAAATATTTCTTTTCCTGTTACGGTGAAATGGGCTGGTTTTGGATCTCAGTGGGGCTGAAAACCTGAGGCTGGCGTGTTTCTAGGTTGGCATCCTCGTGGACGCAGAAGGTGTTCCCCAGTGGTTCTCGAGCGGGAAGGAGAAGCATCCTTCGATTTAGAAGGGCCCTGTCTTCAGCTGGGAGCTGGTCTGGCCTTCTGAGTTGACAGCAGCCGAGTCTTGGGAAGCCTTGAGTGGCGGCTGCCCTCAGAATAATTTAAACAAAGAAGCAGTTGAACCTCCTGAATTCTTTCCTCCTGTCTTCACCCTCGTACTTTCCATTCGAAGTTCCAAGTAAAATGTTAGGGAAGGAAATGTTTACAATGCTGAAAACCCCATAGAAGCATTCTGAACTATACAGGTTTCTTTAAAACTGTGTGTGTGTGTGTGTGTGCGCTCGCGCGTGCATGTGTGTGTACATGTGTGTGCTGTTCATTTGGAAGTTGTGGTTGGGAAGAATCCCCTGATATCTGTTGTTGTGTACCGTTTGAGTGAGAAGTCTGTGTGTTGATCAGAAAACTAACGTTTCACCTTTGGATTGTCCTGATGTTAGGATTGGATGGAACGCTGGGTTGATGATGCCTTTTGGAGCTTCCTTTTTTCGCTTATCCTTCTTGTAATCATGTTTTTGTGGAGGCCATCAGCAAATAATCAGAGGTAGGAAAATTCAGCTTTCCAAGTGTCCGTTGACCACCTTCTACAGTGTCACAAACACGCGAATTGAACCTGGGGAAGTAGGCGTGACTCTGAAGGAGCATGTGGTCAGGCGTGGAGGCAAGCATCCCGTGTGCAGGAGTGAAGTTAGCGATGCCTGAGTCAGTCCTGGGAGAGGGCATTATTTATGTATCGCCCTGAGGAAAGGGCTAGGACTGTGCAAGATGAACTGGGGAGGGACACTTGCTCTCGGGCGCTGGGGAGGAGGTCTGAGAGCCTGGCATCAGTCGGTGCACTGGATGGAGAGAAAGTCTGGAAGCCTGGAACTGAAGTGCCAGAAAGCTTGAAAGCTCAGAATATTGTGCTTCACACGGGGTGTGATGGGAACCACACCTGCCCTTGCTTCGTCTCCCTCCTCCCCAGGGAAAAACTGCTAAAGTTCTTGAATGCTCCAAGAAAGCATGAGCAAGCACTTGCCAGTGTAGGTATTTGTCTCTCTTTTTAAAAAAGTAGGGCTGGTGCGTGGGTTTAGCTGACTAATCTTCCACCTCCAGTACCACATCCCATATGGCCACCAGTTTGTGTCCCAGCTGCTCCACTTCCCATCCAGCTCCCTGTTTTTGCCCTAGGAAAGCAATAGAGGATGGCCCAAGGCCTTAGGACCCTGCACCCACATGGGAGACCCAGAAAAAGCTCCTGGACCCTGGCTTGGGGTAGCTCAGCTCTGGCTGTTGCAACCATCTGGGGAGCGAACCAGGAGACGGAGATTTTTTTGTCTCTCCTTTTTTCTGTAGATTTGCCTTCCCAATATAAAAAATAAATCTTTTTTAAAAATTAATAAATAATAACAACACACAGTTTTGCACCTTCCAATTTGAAATATAGATCCGCCACATTATTGTTGATGACTTTATGACATTCCATGATATAAGAAAGCAGTTTATACAACCTCTTCCTAATTCTTGAGCTTTTCTTTTCTTTTTTTATTTTTAAGACTTTTGAGTTGTTAGCAATGATTTCTTTTTTTTTTTAAAAAAGATTTATTTTTATTATTTTTTTATTGGAAAGGCGGATATACAGCTGAGGAGAGACAGAGAGGAAGATTTTCTGTCCGATGATTCACTCCCCAAGTGAGCGCAACGGCCAATGCTATGCGGATCTGAAGCCAGGAGCCTCTTCTGGGTCTCCCACGTGGGTGCAGGGTCCCAAAGCCTTGGGCCGTCCTTGACTGCTTTTCCGGGCCACAGGCAGGGAGCTGGAAGGGAAGTGGGGCTGCCGGGATAGAACCGGCGCCCATATGGGCTCCTGGGCGTGCAAGGCGATGACCTTAACCACTGCGCCACCACGCAGGGCCCCGTTAGCAATGATTTCTAACAGCTCTCTTGACCTACTGGTCACAGAAAGTAAATGCTGTTTTACTTTGAATGTTGCCCAGAGACCTTCCAGAAAGGGTGTCCTGCAGTGTTTTAGAAAGGAATGGGATCTTGTCACCCAGCAGACGGGGTGCAGTCAGGGCCTTGGTTTTCACCAGATTAGCAGCTTCTCTTTAGGGCTCAGCTGGACTGTGGTGACCTGGAAGGTGAGTCAAAGCAGGGCAGTAAGTACAGCACACAGTTCCTTCCTCTGAGTCTCCCATGCTGCAGGCTGCTTGCCAGGAAGGTGTTACGTGTATGACTACACGTGGATTTCCCTTTTTTTTTTTTTCTGACAATATCAAAATAAACTCGTTTTAATTCCACTTTCCAAAAGCTTTTTGTAGTACCTTTATTTGTTTACCAATAGGATTTAGGAGTTCTGGTTATAGTTTCTTTACAATAATTTTATCACACATTTTAAAGTAAAATAACTAAATGTTGATTATTTTTATGTATAAGAAACTTTCAAGGTACAGATTTTTTTGTATGTGATAATTTTTTGGCTATAAAATGAAAATTGATCAGGTATAAATATGTTAATAAAAATTTCTTTATAGATATGCCTTCATGCCCTTAATTGATGACTCTGATGATGAAGTTGAAGAATTCATGGTAACATCTGAAAATTTAAGTGAGTGACTGTTTTCAAATGACCATTGTACAGACTGTATCAAAAACATTGTGCATTTACCCATGATACAGAGTCATATAGCATTGTTTAAAATAGTTCCTATAAAATGTTTTGAAAACTAAGTACACTACAGAAGCCTCGGTGGTAGGAGATGGTGTCAAGGATGAGTGATTTTTGCCCAACTCATTTCTAATCATGATTTTAGTGCTGTTTCGTTCTATTAACAATGATGTTGGATTTTTTTTCATTAACTTTACCGCAATAGTCCAGTTAAGCATTTGTTAGGGCAGCATCGGTAAGTAATCCAGAAGTTAAGGGTAATTTTATCTGCTTTGTTTTACCTTCTTCTTACTGTTTTCTCTTAATAGTAGCATTATTTGTCCCAGTTATTTCTGGTTCCTTAATTGTCTAGAATTGTAGTAGCCCATCCAGTCTACAGCAGCTGCCACACTGGCCTGTGTCTTCCTTTGACTTCGTTTCATCTTTCTTTGTCCTACAACTCATTCTTCCATGGTTTCTGTCTCATATTGAGAAAGTAAGCATGAAATGCTATCACAGCTCAATCTAACTGAATTTTAAGTGGGTGAACTGTATTATTACAATGCTAATAGCCATATAAACTCTACAGAATACTGGGGAGGGGGGGTTGCTATTTGGAAATATTAAAGAGCAACAAAAAGTAAGCAGAAATTGGAGTCCTGAGTGCAGTGTAAGCTGATGCCACGACCAGGGCTCAGGAAGACGAACGCGCTCCTGTTGACATGGGAGGTGGAGGGTGAGTTTGAGGGCAGTAGGGACTCCTGGAAACAGAGCAGAGAAATAGAGAATGGAGAGGAGCTGTGGAAGGAAAAACTATGGTCAATAGTCTCTCAAGTCTTAGTTGTGCCTAAGCTAGTCATTTTCAAAGCAGAACTCTGGCACAGCAAGCAAGGCTGAACAGCAGAAAAGTGACTTCAGCAGCACCCACTGTAGTTTGAAGTTCCAGTCTCAGCGAGCTGAAAGGACTTGGATAAACATGTGGGCTTTGCAGTGAAGCCCATGCAAGGGCTGTGCTTACACGTGACCAACGGGATGTTAAGTGAGATGAACCCACCCTAATAATGCTTAATAATGCTTAATGCAAGCTTCTGTAAGGTCAAAGTGACCCAGCCGTCATTTAAGAGAATCTGGAATCTCTGCAGTAGCATCGCACTGTCTACCGAACAGTAAATAGACATGGGGAGAAACCAGAAACTGACCCATAGTTAATGGGAAAACTGGTCAGAACAGACCTAGGAGTGACTCAAAATGAGAATAAGAACTTTTAAGTAATTATTATCAGCATGTTAAATTGTCTACAGGAAAGGATAGGTGGTCATAAGGGATATTTCAGAGAAATGTGGAATACTATTCTTTTTCAAAATTTAGAAATTCTAAACCTGAATGGGAAATATGAACTCCCTGGATGAGGTTAATAGTAGGTAAGTAGATTGGATTTAACAGAATAAAAATGAGCATTTGGAGATGAAATTTTGTAGAGTAGATTGTGATAAACATTTTCCATGTTAAAGATACAGGGATATAACTAAAAAGACACTAGAGAAGTGGAGTGGAATATTAACACATACTCTGATATTGCAAAAGGAAACAGGAAAAGCAAATGGGACCAATATAAATAAAATTTTTTAAAAAGGGGGAGACTGATAGAAAACAGGTAAAAGTAGGCTAGACTTAAACCTAAACTAAGAATTTATTGAATGCAAATAGTCTGAATTCTTAAGCTTAAGGGAGATTGTTAGACTGTTAAAAATGAAGTGAAACTCAATTACATGAACCTGCAAGACATGTTTTAAAAAGGGCACAGAACCCCCCCAGAAAGAAAATCTATTCCTCCAGTTGCCAGTTTCATTCCAATTTTAGTATATGTGCTGCCAAAGCGAGCACTAGTTGTCAATTTCAAAAAATTATTTCCAGCACCTCCAAAAAGGAAAGATATAAATAGGTTAGGACTAGAGAAACCCCTAGGTGTAAGAATGCCAGTATAGCCGTCTTAATGTTTGAGAAAGTAAGAAGGAATATAACCAGTGATTTTTAAAGGGTCACCTCTTAATGGTTGAAAGGTGAATCTTTTTTTTTTTTTTTTAATTTAGTTATTTTTATTGGAAAGGCAGTTCAGATTGATGGAGAGAAGACAGAAAGTTCTTCCTTCTGCTACAAATGGCCACAACGGCCAGAGCTGAACTGGCGCAAGGCCTTCCTCTACTACTTTCCCAGGGCATAATTAGGGAGCTAGAAGGAAAGTGGAGCAGCTGAGACATAAACTGGCGCACATATAGGATCCTGGCACTTGCAAGTTGAGGATTTAGCCACTGAGCACTCATACCAGGCCCTTCATGTTTTCTTTCTTTTTATTCATTTGAGGTTAGAATGTCCATCGCAAATTGCTGCCCACATGTGCCTCAATGCCTGGGGCTGGGTCGGACTGCAGCCAGTAGTTGAAAATGCAATCCAGGTCTCCCAGGTGGGTGGCAGGGACCCAAGTACTTAAACCATTACTGCTGCCTCCCCATATATTCATTGGCAGGTGTTGGAGCTGCAGCTGAGTATTGAACCCAGGTACTCTGAAGTAGCACACTAGCACTTTGAGAAGCATCTTGATTGCTGGGCTAAATACCCAGGCCTCCATACATTTTAAAAATTCCCAAACATAAGGTCCGGAGTCATGGCTCAATGGGTTATTCTTCCACCTGCAAGAGCCAGCATCCCACGTGGGTACCAGTTCGTATCCCAACTGCTCCATTTCACATCCCTGTTTCTGCGTATGGCCTGGGAAAGCAGTGAAGGATGGACCCAGTCTTTGGGACCCTGTGCCTATTTGGGAGTCCTAGAGGAGGCTCCTGTCTCCAGCCTTCATATCTGCTAAGCTCTAGCTTTTATGGCCATTGAGGAGTGAACCAGTGGATGGAAGATCTTTCTCTCTGTCTCTTTTGTAAATGTGACTTTCCAAAGGAAATGAATAAATCGTCAAAGAAAAATTGCGAAAATAGCATTTGTTCTGTGACCACAGTGGAATTAAATTAGATAATAGTAACAACCGATGCCTACAAAATAGTCTAATACTTGGAGGTCCGCAGTACGTTTCTAAGTAATTGAAGGATTGAAGAAATTGCAAGATATAGTGGAAAACATTTCATATGGGGTGGATGTTAAGGTATCAGTTGAGACTCCCACATACTGTATCAGAATTCCTGGATTTGAGGCCCGGCTCCATCTGGATTCCAGCTTGCTGCCAGTGCTCCCCTGGAAGGCAATGGTGATCATTCCTGCCACCCACACTAGAGACCTGGGTTGAATTCCTGGCTTTCAGGTCCCCTGGCACAGCTCCCAGTATTGTGGGTATCTGGAGAGTGAACCAGGGATAAAACCCTCTCTTTCTCATTCACTCACTCTCTCTCTTGCCTCTGCAGAACATGAAAATAGTAAGTAAAAATTTTAACCATTTTATCCTAATTGATAAAAAGCATAGCAATGATAAATTTTGTGGGACTAAATCAGTTCTTAGAAGAAAACTTAACAGCTTTTTAAATGCTTGTATTACCAAGAAAAAAAAAAAGACTAAAATCAGTGCTCTCTGTAGCCACTGTAAGTCCTAGAAAAAAGACATATTAAACTCAGCTAAATAAAAGAAAGGGAATTATAAATTTCAACAATAAAAGTTTCTGTTTCACCAATCAAATAGAAAGCTAGGGGAAATTGAGAAGATCAACAAAGCCAAAAGTAATTTATTTGAAATATTAGTAAGATTGAATTTGTCTCCAACTAATCTAAGCCAGAAACAAAAGCAATAAATGCTAGAATAGTAAGGAAAGTTTCCATTGGAAATGATGCAGAGTACATTACACAGTAAGAGAGGACAAGTAAGGGAAGGTTTGGATAACTTTATGGTAGTAAATTAGACAATTGGCATGAAGTGGACAATTTCCTGAAAATAATAAGTAACAAAAAAGCTCTAAAAAATTTTTTTTTCATAAAATATTGTGAGACAGAAAGAATAAGAGAGAACTCATTTGTCAATTCACTCTCCAGGTGCCCAGAGTTGGTGGGAGGAAGTGTGCAGGGCAGATGGGAGGAGCTGAGCCCAGGTCCCCCACATGGGTGGAAGGAACCCACTGCCCCGTGCGCTCAGCATCAGCAGAAAACTGGCCAGGCTCAGGAGCCAGTGCCAGGGAGCAAACCCAGACGCTAGCATTCAGTCAGAAACTGCCCTGTTCTCAACCCCAACTGTGAGCTACCATGGCTGAATAGCTCTGCAACTGTTAAAAAAAATGAATTTGTAATTTAAAATATTTCCAAAAACTAGCAGGCCAAAATGGTTTCACTAGTGAATTTTTTCAAGAATTAAAGAAATACCTCCATCTTAGCAAGCCCTTTAGAATGCAGAGGAAGTAGAAATGCTTCCGTGCACATTTTAGATGCCAAAAATCAACAGACGTTACAAGACAGGAAAAATTACGGAGCCGTATCATTAATAAGCAAAGACATGGAAATCCTTGCAAAACATTAGTAAATAATATCTAGTGAAATATGGAAAGATAATCACAATGAAGTAGACTTTATCCCAGGATTGCAAGCCTGTTTGAACATTTTGAAAATCACTCAGTCTAATTCATCACAGTACAAAAAGAAAAAAAATTAAGAGAAAGAAAAATGACATAGCATCTCAGATTTAAAAGCTCAGCAAACTACAGGATGATATGAAATAACTCCACAGCTGAAGTCACACATAACGGCAAAGCAGTGATGGCTTTTGCTCCTAAGACTAGAGACCAAGTGCAAGAACGTGACTCACTGCTTTGATCCACCTTATATGTATGGAGAGGCAAAACAAGCCAGCAGACCTCAAAGAATGTACACAGTATAACATGCGGAAAGGAAGAAGTAAAGGGACTTTTCTTTGCAGGCAGCAGTTACATGTATACAAAAACCTACGATTCTGCCAAAACAGGAAGTGCAGTAGAACCATAAGTGACTAATGTAGTGGAAGGGTGCATGTCCAGGGTGCAGAATTACTTGTCTGATTACTAACTACTAACTGAGAGCAGTTAGCAATGACATTTTCAGATACCATCAAAAATAAAATACTTAGTAAAGAAAAAAAAATGGTGTGAAACCTCTGCAATGGAGACAGTAAACCAATGCAAAGAGAAATTTTGGAATAGGTAAACGTAGCGCTATAAAGTGCTTATAAATTGGAATTTTCACTGTTACTAAGGTGTCAGCTATCGAAACTAAAAAGTTAAATGCCACCTAGTAATCATACTTCTAACTGGCTTAGAAAAAATATGGGTAAACTGATTCTAAAACATCTATGGAAAAGCAGGAGACTGAGAAGAGCCTCAGCCCACTCTGAGTTGACGTCAGCATGCTTTGAGGAAGCCAGCGACCAGCTGCGCGTTTCTCCATGCTGTGCCGAGTCCAGAGTCAGCGCACCCAGAGCGGGAGAGTAGAGCAGGGTCTGCAGGTGCTGGAGACGGGGCAGAGTGGGCAGCGTCTGCCAGTGAGGGTTCCTGAAGGCTCCCCCCTGCTGTAATAAGATCTCTTCTTCCTTAGATTTTTAAAAAACTAAACATACATTTATCACACAATCTAGCTGTTTCATGCTGAAGTTTTTAACCCAGAATAAATGAACCAGATGTTCACTGAGACACATTAATAATCACAGCACCTTTATTCTTTATAGTTCAGAGTAGAAAATAACCCAAATGCCCCCTGGTGCCTGGAAGTAGAAATTGTAGGTGGATCCATATCAATGGAGTACTGGTCATTAATAATTTTTAAAAAGTGACCAACAGAAACCCGAGTAAATCTCAGAAACCTCCTGTTGTGTGATAGCCAACTCCTGGAAGAGTATAGAAGCCATGGAAAATGTTCTAGCAAGTTCTAGAACAGTCAGAACAAGCCATGCTGATTACCCAAATCAGAACAGTGATCTCTGGCAGGGTGGGGATTGTCTGGAAAGGAACTTAACCTTCCGTGGTGATGGACGTGTTAATATGTTGGTGGGCTTGGTAGGCACACAAGTGTGTTTATTAAATAATCTCTGCAGACCTTGTATGCTATAGTACACGTAAGTATTCTTTAATGTTAGAACATTCCACGATTTTCCTGGAAAGAGAAATGCCTATTTAATTCCTAGTGGAAGCATTTTTAGACAGACTTCATCATAGTGACTTACGCTGAGGCAGGCCTAATGGTTGTACCTGTTGTTTTCATGTATGCTCATGTAATATTTGAAAATTATCCTAGCAACAGATATGAATGCTCAGTGGAGCTAGGGTGCGCGGAGCACTTTCTGTGTGCTGACTTGTTTAGGGTTCCCCCGACCTCTGAGGTGTAGACCCTGTTGTCCTCTATTTGTGGGGGCATCTAGTTTCAGAACCTAACCTCTCAACCTCTGCCTCACTCAAACTACAAGAAGCACAGCTTTGGTCAAATCTGAGGAAAACCCTTTTTCTTTCTTATTTGTGCCATAATCACATTCCAACAGTTTATCCAGCAAGCAAGTACATGTTTTTGTCTTGAGTATAATTCTATGACTCCTATAGATTTTTTCCATCTGTGAACTTTAGAATGCATTAAAATTAAGGGGAAAATGTGCAAGTATGTCTATTCAGGCTCTTCTAAGACTCATATGCAAACTAGCAGCTTAAAAACCTGGTTGTTCTAGCAGTCAGAATCTCTCAGCTTCCTCCATACCTTCTTCCTACATGCCCAAGACGTGTGTTACAGCCAACACCTAGCCTGGAGTTTCCATTGTTAGCGCCTTCAGAAAAAGACGTAATAGTTCCCTTACTGCATGCATGTGAAACTGTAAAGGAAAATATTTTATAATTTTGAATATTTCTCTGTCATGCTTCTCCTTGTAGCTGAAGGAATAAAATTGAGAGCCTCAAAAACAGTCTCTAATGGAACAGCTAAGCCAGCTACTGCCGATAATTTTGTGAGTATATGCGTATTTACAAAGAATCTTAAGTCCTCAGAGATTTTGAAATCTGCATGAATGTTATATTCATTGACTGTCAGGAGAACAGGTTTTTACTAAGGTCTCTTTGGGATAAAAGCCCGTGTTACGTTACAGCTACACTGGACAAGTCCCGGGCTCATGGCAACTGTGTCGTAGGTCCTTGCGTCTCGAGTGCTGCTCCGGGGCCAGCAGCTCCGGCATCCCCTGGGAACTTGCTGGGATACAGGATTCAGGCTGGCCCTGGCTGGGAAAGACTGCTCTGCTTTCCTTTTCCTTTCCTTTCTTTCCTTTTTCCTTTTTCTTCTTTTTCTCCTTTCCTTTCTTTGCTTTTCTTCCTTCCTTCCTTTCAAAAGATTTATTTACTTTAGTTTGAAAGACAGATTTGCTGAGAGAAGGAGAGACAGAAAGTTCTGTCATCCACTGGTTCACTCCCCAAAAAATGGCTGCAACAACCAGAGCTAGAACAGTGTAAAGCCAGGAGTTTCTCCTAGGTCTCCCACATTGGTGCAGGAACTCAAGGACTTGGGTCATCCGCTGCTGCTCTCCCAGGCACATTAGCAAGGAGTTGTATCAAAGTGAAACAGGTAGGGCTTGAACCTGTACCATTATGGAATGCCAGCACCACAGGCAGAGGCTTAGCCTACTATGCCTTGACACTGCCCCAAGACTTTGCTTTCTAACAAGGCTCCAGAGGTAATCCACAAACGCATGTAAATACAAAAGAGATTTCTGTGTCTTTTCAGCATTTAAGGAAATTTTTGAAGACTTTTAAATAACTCTTTGTTGGGAAAAGGCCAGTATGTTGTATCTCTGCAGTTATTATAATGAGTGGATGTGTGTTGGGGGACTGTAGAAGCTTGGATAAAATGGTACAATACAGGGCAGGAGGGCCTGGCACAGTAGCCTACTTGCTTAAGTCCTCACCTTGCATGTGCCAGGATCCCTTATGGGCACCAGTTCGTAGCTTGGCTGCTCCACCTCCTTTCCAGTTCCCTGATTGCAGCCTTGGAAAGCAGTCGAGGACGACCCAAGGCCTTTGGACTCTTCACCTGCGTGGGAGACCCAGAAGAAGCTCCCGGCTGCCGATCGGCTCAGCTCCAGCCTTTATGGCCACTTAGGGAGTAAACCAGTGGATGGAAGATCTTTCTCTCTGTATCTCCTTCTCTCTGTAAATCTGACTTTCCAGTAAAAAGAAATAAATCCTAAATACATATATATGTGTGTTATTTTTTTAAAAGATTTATTAATTTTTATTGGAAAGGCAGATATACACAAAGGAGGAAAGACAGAGAGGAAGATCTTCCATCCAGTGATTCACTCCCCAAGTGGTCCCAACGGCTGGAGCTGAGCCAATCCAAAGCCAGGAGCTCTTCCAGGTCCCCCATGCGGGTACAGGGTCCCAAGGCTTTGGGCCGTCCTCGACTGCTTTCCCAGGCTACAATCAGGGAGCTGGAAGGGAAGCAGGTCCACCAGGATTAGAACCGGCGATCATATGGGATCCCATATGGGAGCATGCAAGGCAAGGACTTTAACCACTGTGCTGTTGTGTTGGGCGCTATATATATGTTATTTTAAAAAGGTAAGGCAGGGCAGATTTTTTAATATTCTATGCACATTATGCATAAGAATGGTGGTTATGAAGGTAGAAAAATGGAAATGTCTGTCATACAGATGTTTAAGATTATTTTTGAGAGGTATACAGAGTTCCCGCCCACTGTTTTACTCCCTAAATGCCTGCAACATCCAGAAGTGCAAAAATCTGGGGCCCTGCACCGTGACTTAATGACTAAATATTCACCTTACAAGCACCAGGATCCCATATGAACCCTGGTTTGTGTCCCAGCTGCTCCATTTCCCATCCAGCTCCCTGCTTGTGGCCTGGGAAAGCAATTGAGGACGGCTCAAGTTTGAGACCCTGCATCCACACTGGAGACCCAGCGGAGGCTCCTGGCTTGAATCTGCTCAGCTTGGCTGTTGCAGTGATTTGGGGAGTGAATCGATTCTGTCTCTGTAAGTCTGATCTTACTTTCCAGTGAAGATAAATGAACCTAAAAAGGTACAAAAATCTGAAACTCCATTTTTGTGTGCCTGTTTGCCTAAGCACTGGCATAATTGCCTTGTGGCATGAATGGCAGCCTTTAGACATCACAGCTAACAGGATCTCACGCTTTTACATGCATTTTATTAGACGTTTTACTTTCAGTTGCTGGTAAGCTCATACTAAATCTAAATATTCATTTGTACAGGATGAAGATTTGAAGTGGGTAGAAGAAAACATTCCGTCTTCATTCACAGACGTGTAAATATCCTCTCTTGGTGGCTGAGTCTGGAGTTGAGGCTGATGGTCGCAGGGCTGGTGTCCCCGCTCCCTGCAGGCCCTGCACCCAGGGCGGGACCCTGCTGCTGCTTAGGCCACGTGATGGCCCTCCCACGGAACAGAGGCCCTTTCTCCTTTTTTTGATGCTGACATCAGATGCTTTCATACTAGTGGCCAATTCCTGCTTTCTTTGCTCTACCAGGATCATTTTGTTTTTAATATTCTAATATGGAAAAGTTCAAACATACTTAAAACTTCATTTTTTTTAACACGTGTAACCACAGTGTATGCACATGACCGTAGGGGAAATAGAGACCCTGGAATTCCCTCTCAGCGAGGCCTGGGCTGAGGCCCCTCCCTCAGTGACCTTTGGACCACACTCTGTGTGTTTTTAACACGGTTAAAGACAGCTGGATTAGACAGCTATGATACTCTTCATGTTTTGTTCTGTCCAATGTCTGTAACTGCTTCTTGTGTCAGGTTTTTGTTTTTTTGTAGCTTACTTATTTCGTTATTTTTTTTGAAAGGCAGTGAAATAGGGAGAGAGTGAAAAAGAGAGCCCTTCCATCCACTGCTTCACCCCACTAATTACCTGTGGGTGCTCCAGGCTGAAGCCAGGAGCCTCGCACTCCTTCCAGGTCTTCCACACAGGTGGCAGGGCCCAAGCCCTCGAACTGCCATCTGCTGGTCTCGGCACAGCAGCAGGAAGCTGGTGTGAAGCAGGGACTGAATCGCGTGCGCTCTGGGCTGGGGAACAGGCGTCCCAAGCAGCAACAGTTTGTGAGGCAGAAGCAGAAAGAGGGGAAGAGGTTCTGCCCTCTGGCTCCCTGGATGCCTGCAGTGCTGGAGACCAGGCCAGGCTGCGCTGAGGGCCTGGAACTCAGTCCCATCCCCCATGTGAGTGTCAGAGAACTAGTTGCCCGAGCTGTCACCTGCTGCCTTCCGGGTTGTGCACAAACAAGAGCTGCAGTTGGGAGCAGAGCTGGGTCTTACACCCAAGCACTCTGATGAGGATCCTGAGCCTGACTGTCACACCAAATGCTCACCTCCTTTAGAAAGGAAACCATCCGTTTATTCATTGCAGAGCGAGAAAGATGGAGAGATTATAGTTGTTAAACTGTTACTCCTCAGCAGTGTCTGTCTAGTTTACCCAGGCAGGTGACTGTGGTGTAGGAGGGTTGAGAATGGAGCTGCCTGCCGGCGAGTGGGGCATGCCCCTTTCCCACTGTGCACAGCTGGGGGGTGAGGGGTGGTAGGCCACATAGCAGGCCTGGGCCCAGATGGCACTGTCTGCCAGGGAGTGAGGCATGCCCCTTTCCCACTGTGCACAGCTGGGGGGTGAGGGGTGGTGGGCCATGCAGCAGGCCTGGGCCCATTTTTCGTACCCTGGTCTCACCTTGTCGCTTTTCTGTCCCCCTTGTATTTCAGAGCCCTTCCAGTGTTAGTGGATTCGGATGAGGTAAAACGTCATTTTGCTATTTCCTTGAAGAAATGTTTCTCAGATATTCTGAAAGTTGTTTTTTAAAATGGTTGTAAACTGGATATGTGGAACAATACCATATCCTGATTTGTGCATCGAGGTGAAAAGGATTTGGTGTATAGTCCTCATTTCTGGCAGAAACCAGAGAAATGCTGGCTAGAGCAAAGAAGGGAAGGAGTGTTTCTAAGATTTTGTGTACAGGGAAGGGTGTTGTCTAAATCACTGAAACTTGCAGATAGTTTGCTGGTGTATGTAAGTGAAGTTTTTATTCCATTTTCCAAGCTGGAAATTTGAATGGAGGGTGCAAATTCAGATCTTTTGTTGTTGTTGTTGTTGCTGGGGCTTGGGGGACAGTGTTAGGGATCTCCTGGACGTGGAAGGTAGCTCAAGGCCGAGAGCCTGAAGCGGAAGAAACAACATGCGGGTGTGTGGGGTGTTAGCTGCCAGAGGAGGAGAGGGAGCTCTGTGCCTGAGCAGTGGCTTACGTAGTACCCGAGGACCCGGAATGAGCTGGAACTGCAATAGAGACCATGGAAAGGACTTGGGCCCGTATCTTGACTCTAGTAGACAGGAGGGTTTGAGCGGTCAGCATGGGGATTGATGATTCCGCAGAGAGATGTCCCAGAGGATGCCTTTTAAAGTATTCACCTGGTAGGAGCTGATTTAGCATTTCAGGAATGTGTTAGCTCAGTAAGGTGAGACAATGTCCCCAGGTGGCCCAGGCCTCAGGTGCACCTGAGCCCTGCTCCTGGAGAAGGCTCTGAGCTTGTTTCCCAGCCAGCAGGAGGCCAGGGTTTTCTGAGCTTGTCAGCAGGTGATTCTGCCTTATTAGACAGTGTGAATGACGTTTTTATTGTCTGTGTCTAGGACTTCCCCCCAGATTGTGGCTATTGGAAAGATCAGAAAAATGTGTAAGCGTTCTGGAACCAGTGCCAGCTCGTTGAAACCTACCTTTTAATGTATTGGTTTGTTTGTTTTAGGAAATCATGACCAGATCTGAAATGGCTGAAAAAATGTTTTCTTCAGAGAAAATAATGTGATTGGCCTGATAGCCAGTGAGGACGTGATCGGGACAGAGCGAGAGCCTTACGCATGCAGCAGGCGCGGTGTTGTGGTGTTGCCTGGGAAATCTGCAAGCATCCTGGTGGTGGGAGGGCCCTGCAACCCTTTAAAAGCCCACTCTCAAGTGTCCACTTCCTATGCAGTAAATTAACTGGGTGTGGAACTAAGAGCGCTGCTCGGGTGCAGGGATCCGCACAGTGCCTTTAGGCAGCGGAAGCAGGCCTGTGGAGAGGGGTCTCAGGCTTTTCTCTGGAAACACACTTGCGGTCTCAGCCGTTGCTTCTAGCCCCTTCTTTGCTCCCACTCACCTTTGACACCCTCTCAGTCCATGTCCCCAGGCTGTCTGCTTGCGAGGTGCAGTGATGATTTTCTGCTACTTTTATACTGAAGTGATTAAGCATTGAAACACAAGCATGTTTCTGTATTTAATTTTGCCTTTTTTTTTTTTTTTTGGTCTGGACAAAGCCTTGTTTGTAAATATGGGTAGGTGCGTTCAGGCGTGGAATTGGATCTTCTCTGTGCCCAGGGGAGTGCAGGTGCACAGGGAGAGAGACCCGGAGGTCATCTCCCAAGGCTCGCTCTGCCTTGTCCCCTCAGCCAGGCCGTGTGCACAGCTGCTGCCGCTCATCCTGCCGGGGGCAGGTGCAGGGTGCCAGGCCTCCTGGCTTCCCCAAGCGCTCCCACCCAGCACACGGGAGAGGCACCACCAGGGAATCTTGTGGAAACTAGAACTGTATCTTTTACAAAATCTCAGCATAGTCTGTTTATAATAAAAAGAAATATTTAACAGCAAAGTGTATCACTGTTAATGTTGTAATTGATTCCTGAACCTGCAAACATTTTATACCTTGTTTTGTTACATTGTATATTTGTAATGTGCAATTTGAAAATTTTTGTTTGAAATCCTTTTTAGAAATGTAGAATAATTTAAACTTGAAAGGCAATTGACTGTAGTATGTTGAAAATGTGAATATTTTATTGCTTTTGTGACCAAAGATAAAGGAATTATCTTTTAAATGAACATTTAGAACAAGAATTAAAGATAGAATCTTGGAAGTATTTTCTTTTATAGGAGTCCTAACCTCATGAGTTGAGAATGACTTCAAAGAACTCTAATGGAAAAAAACATTGAAATCTTCACCAAATACTTAAATATAACCTCCAATTTTTTTTTCACTGTGAAACCACAAATTATTTTTTCATCCAAAGCCTACTTTTTAAGCTTCTTAAAATGTATTTATTTTTATTTGAAAGGAAGAGAGATAATGAGGCACACAGAGAGATCTCCCATTTGCTGGTTCATATCCCCAAGTGCTTGCAACAGTGAGTCTCACGTGGATGGCAGGTGGCAGGGCCCCAGGGACTCGGGCCATGACCTTGTGCTTCCTGGGGTAGCTTGGGAACGGAGCCAGGTCGCTCCCAGGCAGTGTAACACAGGACACGGGCATCCTTGCGCCAAATGCCCGTGCCTTAGGTTCCGTATTGTTTACTTATTTGAGGGCTTAGTAAAAGCTTACTGTCGGTAGTAGCATCTCATGAGAGATATGTACAGATGTGTTTCCAGTAGAGAATGTTTGGAAGGTCAGCGCGTAAACAAACATGCTCGGGAATTGCAGAGTGTTCGAAGTGCCGTTGCTTTGGGACATTCTATTTCCCTGGAAAAGACTGTTTGATCTCACGGTTGAGGATTTCATCCTCCTGTTTCTGCTGCAGTGAGCCTGCGCCACAATCTTTTCCAGCATGGTGTGTTCCGCTGCAGCTCAGTCCTTTGAGCTGGAGTGTTGGCAGTGTTTTTATCCGGTCATCCCCTCACCATCACCAGTATTGTGTGATATGGATCCCCAACTCTTCATATGGCTGTAGTTGAACTTGGAGAATTTCGGGCTTGCAGCCTTTAGGAGCTGTACATTTAGCAGGTAGGGGTTGGGGAGAGTGAGGGATGGGAAATGGTAAGTTTGTAAGAAAATGAGGACAGCAGCCTCTGCACTGGGAAGGCAGATGAAGCTCCCCATTCGGCCCAGCTGCTGACAGACCAAGCAGGAATGTCTCTCACAGGGCCATGCGCATCCTCACTGTCGTTGATCTCTGTATGGTGTACGGTGGCTTGGCTTGAGGGTTCCCTGAGCAGGACCTTCGCCGGCCCCCGCCTTATAAACCAGGGCTGCTTTAGGAGAGTTCACAGGAAGGACACGGGAGAGGTGGCAGGCTGTCGCACAGCTCCCCATCCTGGCTTCTGCGCCAGGTCACCTCGGCGCTCTGACCTGCTTACCTTTAAGGGTGGAGGTCCCTGCTAATGGACGGGTCCGCAGATAAGGTCCAGTTTGATGTTATCTCTTGGCCAGATGCTGCAGTTGCCCTTGTCAGGCAATTCAGGTGAGCCTTGTGTGCAGTTTGCCTAAAAGGGAGTTTTCATAACTTGAGTTAGATTCTAGTATTTAAAGATCTACATTCAGGGTAGCTTATTTCAAAAGTAAGGGGAAAAAAATAGGTGAGAAAGTGAGCTGTTTTTAAGCCTAGGAGATCAGATCTAATTTATGTTCCATAGGTTCATGAGAATACTACCTTTCCACTCGAGATCACATGCTATTTGCACTATTACAATGTCAAGACTGAAAGTATAAAAATGTACATATAGAGTTGATTCTTACACTTCTTTTTAAAATGAAAGGGCCGGGTCTGTTCCAGTAGGTTGGACATGAGTAGTTTAAAGTCTGTAGGTGTTAGGCTAAATTTATAAGTCACTAGTCCTGGAATGTGTGTCTCTGTAATCAGTAGCCTCCAATGAGCAATACAAAACACAGGCCTAGAAGAGAAGTTTAACATTGGTTAAGTTCTGAATGTATTTAACATAATTAAATATTTAAGGAAGTCTACATTGTAACAGTACTGCATTAAGAAACTTAAGAACTTAATTTTGGACTAAGAAAATATCAATTTGAGAATAAACAGTATTTTTTATTTCGAGTTATTTTGGAAGCAGTTACTTTGAGTAAAGAACATACTATTGAAAGAATTTTTGTTTGAAATTTTGATGTACTTTTGTGCCTTAACATCTGTTCTTTCAATAAATGCTTTCTGATGTTTGCTTTAAGATTTATTTGTTTATTTTGAAAGAATTAAAGGAAGAGAAAGACAGACATATAGGCCCATCATTCACGCAGGAGTTCATTCCCCAATGGCTGCAGCAGGCAGCTCTGGACTAGGAGCTTCCTGGGGTCCCCCACATAGGGAGCAGGGCCCAAGTGCTTGGACCACCCTCTGCAGCTTTTCCCAGGTCACCAACAGGGAGCTGGATGGGAAGTGGAGCACTCAAACCCACACCCATAGATTAACTTCACAACTGGTGGCTTCCCTTGAAAGGCCACAACACTAGTCCAGTCAGTGGCTGATTCTTGCTAGTACCTTCTGTTATTACATTATAAAAATCTAGAGAAAATATTAATTCCAATGGATGGTAAAACATTTGTAAAGAGGAGGTACTATTAATTAAACATGGAAAAATGTTCAGCCTCGATAGTAACAAAGAAATACAAAACATGATTGGGCGAGAGGGGAGCTTTTTACCTTGAATTAAGCTATGCTTATTGTAGTGTTTGTGAAGTTTAGTTTAGTTTGTAGTGTTTATTAAGTATTTGTGAAATTCCTTTGCGTTCTAACTCTGATGAATAAGCTATAGTGATGGTAACATGACTGGTCAGATCTTTGGAAAGATCAGCAGTGTGCCTAACTTCTGAAAGATGCCGGTTTTTGGCCAGTGGCTTTGTAGGGTTCTCTGTACCAGGAAGTTGTTGAGGATTTGTGAAGATACAGGGAAATGCTTCCAAAGTGCTCGTGTGACGCAAGGCCATTGTGAACACTGCTATGTGCTGTGGTCGTGAGTGGATTGCCCCCTCTTGGGGGTGGAGACCACAGATTCCCTCTCCCTGATGTCACGGTCCAGCAGTGGGTGCACAGGTGAGCAGTCCTCCGTGTGATTCCTCAGGCAACCACTGTTCAGGTCCAGCCAGCAGAAGGGGCAAGAACAGCTGGAGAGGTCTGAGGGGTTACTGCATGCATGGTGAGCCCATTCCACCAACAATGTGATGACAGGTCCACGGCAGCTGCCCACGAGGTTGGAGATTATCAACAGTCAGGTGCCTGCTTATTATGCTTAAGACTAACCTCCCAGATTTTGTTACATTCAAAGGGAAACGTACGGAGAAACAGGCAAGCTGCGACGGTGCCTAAGCATTCTGTACAGAATCAGGGACTTGGGCCATGGCTTACTCCATCCCGCCAGAAGCACTCAGAATATGGAGAAATTGGGGACATTTTCTCAGCCTTTCCCAGGAAGCAGTATCAGGAGCCTAGAGTCCTGGGAGGAAGGCAAAGACCATTGCTGCAACAATGGTGACACCTTGGGGAGTGCTAGGAGGCTTTGGTCACCACTGTGTGCCCACAGGAGCCAGGTGGGTGGCTGGCGTGATGCTGCAGGGACTCAGGATTAGTCTCAGGGTCCCAGGAGAGGAAAGTTCTGTTGAGCCAGTCTTTGTCTCCTCCTAAGGGAGACATGTCTTTAAAGGTTTATTAATTTTTATTTGAAAGAAGATTTAAAGAAAGACAAAATCCTCTGTCCTGTGGTTCAATCCCCCCAAGTGGCTGGAGCTAAAGCCAGGAGCTTCTTCTGGGTCTCCCACGTGGGTTCAGGGTCCTAAGGCTTTGGGCCATCCTCAGCTGCTTTCCCAGGCCACAAGCAGGGAGCTGGATGGGAAGTGGAGCTGCTGCGATTAGAACCGGTGCCCATATGGGATCCCGGTGCATTCAAGGCAAGGATTTAGCCCACTGGACCATTGTGCTTGGCCCTTCGAGAACATTCTCAGGGCAGATAAGTGAGAAGTGTCTCTCTTCTTCTCTATATATCTGCCTTTCCAATAAAAATAATACATCTTAAAAAAAAAAGAAATTTTCAGTCTCATGCTAGGAGCTTATTGAGAAAGAAGTAGAACTGGCACATAGACAAACTAGATAAAAAATGTGCTAGGGCCTGGTGGCATGGCCTAGTGACTAATGTTCTCACCTTGAACGCGCCAGGATCCCATATAGGTGCCGGTTCTAATCCCACCAGCCCTGCTTCCCATCCAGCTCCCTGCTCGTGGCCTAGGAAAGCAGTTGAGAATGGTCCAAAGCCTTGGGACCCTGCACTCGCTTGGGAGATCCGGAAGAAGATCCTGGCTCCTGGCTCCAGATCGGAAAGCTCTGGCCGTTGCAGCCGCTTGGGAATGAACCATTGGACGGAAGATCTTCCTCTCTGTCTCTCCTCCTCTCTGTATATCTGACTTTGCGATAAAAATAAAATATCTTTTTTTAAAAAGTGCCAAGTAATGAGAAATAAACCTTCACAAATAAATTTTTTTAAAGAAAAAATAAATGGCAAAAAAAAAAAAAAGGAAGGGAAAACTGGAAATTTATAGAGAGAAGAGGCTCAGGGCTCCTGACTTCAGATCAGCACAACTCTGTGCATTGTGGTTGCTTGGGTAGTGAATCAATGGACAGAAGATATTCTTCTCTATCTTTCCTCCTCTCTATATATCTGTTTTTCAAAAAAAAAAAATTTTTTTAAATCTTTCAAAAACAAAACAAAAAAAAGATGGTGACGGCATTGTGGTGCAGTGGGTTAAGCTGCTGCTTGCAACAATAACATCTCATACTGGTTTTAGAGCAAGATCTTCCATTTCTCATTCAGTTGATGCTAATGTGCCTGTGAGGGCAATAGATAATGGCCAGAATATTGGGGCCCCTGCCTTGCAAATGGGAG